AGAAGAGCATCTCTGAACACACAACACGTCCAACCTTGAGGCGGATGGGCTACAGTTCAGTACAGGCCATGTTCAAATGGCCTCCACAGTCACCAGAGCTCAATCCAATAGAGCAGCTTTGGGATGTGGTGGAACGGGAGATTGGCATTATGGATGTGCAGCCGACAAATCTAAGAAATATTTCCAGTAGCTTGCTGATCTGGAGGTGAAAGAGGTCCGACCCGTGTACCTAAAAAAGTGGGCAGTGAGTGTGTAAAACAATATTAAGTTTTAAGGGCAAATATTTAACCATTAAGTGCCTCTATTACACATATTTAAAGTCTCAGTACAGGTGCAGTGTTTCAAATTTCAGACGCTGCTTTGGTTTGTAATGAATAATTGTGGTCAGAGGTCAGAGTTCAGAGATGTTTACTCTCCTGCGACAGCAACACAATGGAAACATCAGCGGAGTGTTTGACTGAGGCTGTAAAACACTGCAGAGTAATGCAGACCCCGACAAGCAAACACACACACACACACACGACACACACATACACTGTTTACTGCTCACAGGTGTGTGCGTGCGTGTGTGTGTGTGTGTGTGCATGTGTGTGTTCGTGTGCATGTGTGTGTGAGGATCAACACAGCTGTGAAGTGTGTGCGTGTTTGTGTGTCTGTGTGTGTCTGTGTGTGTGTGTGTTTGTGTGTTCACACTGCAGGAGTGAATGGCCCCAAATGTCACCCCAGCTTGTGTGTGTTTGGTCAGATGGTGTTGATGCTGCTTGTCCATCAGGAGTGTGTGTGTGTGTGTGTGTTCACACGCACACAAACATGCACATGCACTCACACAAACACTCACACACACACACACGCACACATTTAGATATATTTCTCACACATACATAAAGATGCTCTCACACACACACACACATACAGACATTCAAACACACACACACTCATACAGACGCTCACGCATACACATACAGACAGACACACACACACACACACACACACACACACAAACATACATACAGATGCTCAAACACATACAGACAGACTCTTACTCACACACACACACACACACACACATCTGTCTTATCTGGATGTTTGCAGTCTGCTGCTGTTCGGATCCTCCAGACGTCCTTGAGTTTCTCCACACGACACAATGTTTAATGTCTGAGGAACTGATGCCACAGAAACAATGAAGGTTTTGTCTAGCGTGATGTTCAGACGCTGATGAAGCACAAATAACAGGAGATTCCTGAACTATTACAATCCCCAGAGCAAACCTACTCACAGTAGCACTCTCTAAAGAGGAAATCAGCGTATATATTCATGCGTTTGTTCTGAAACAACCAATATATTTGCTGCATATATTTATATTATATGTTTAAGATGAAGGGTGGCACAGTGGTGTCGCACTGTGGCCTCACTGCAAGAAGGTTGCTGGTTTGAGTCTCGGTTGGGTCAGTTGGTGTTTCTGTGTGGAGTTTGCATGTTCTCCCCGTGTTGGCGTGGGTTTCCTCCGGGTGCTCCGGTTTCCCCCACAGTCCAAACACATGCGCTATAGGGAAACTGATCAACTACACTGGCCGTAGTGTATGAGTGTGTGTGTTTCCCAGTACTGGGTTTCAGCTGGAAAGGCATCTGCTGTGTAAAACTTATGCTGGAATAGTTGTCGGTTCATTCCGCTGTGGTGACCTCTGATAAATAAAGTTACTAAGCCGAAGGAAAATGAATGAATGAATTTAAAAGAAGTAAATTTAATTACAAGTTTGCTTGTTTCCATAGCAACATTTACTATATTTACATATACTGTATATTGTCAAGTTCTGAATCTAAAACTGAAATAAAGATTAATAAAGAATAATGAGAGATGTAATGCAAATGTAAAATACTAACATTATTGAACAATATTTAAATTAGTTGATTTAAATTTGTAATGAATTAACATTCAAATATTAACACTGTAATATTATAATATGGTATATGCTAGAAATATGCATTATATAGTATATGCTAAAACAATTAATTCCCAGAAATTAATTGTCAATTATTATATTATTAATAATTATTGTTGAAATTTAATATACATTTCATTATTAAACGCTGTTAGGGAAGTCTAATGCAAAGAAGCACTCATAAACAAACCAATAATAAAACTCTCAGCCGTATCACCCTGCAGCCCAAGACCGGTTACTCACTGAAGCTAAGCACAGCTGATTCTGGTCAGTATCCGGATGAGAGACCACATGAGAAAACTAGCTTGCTGTTGGAATTGATGTTAGTGAGGCCAGCAGGGGGCGCTCAACCTGTGATCTGTGAGTCTTAATGCCCCAGTATAGTGAAGGGGACTCTATACTGTCAGTGGGCGCCGTCTTTCAGATGAGATGTTAAACCGAGAATCTGACTCTCTGTGCTCATTAATAACCCCATGGCACTTCTGGTGAAGAGTAGGGGTGTAACCCCTGGTGTCCTGGCCAAAGTCCCTCCATTAGCCCTTACCCATCATGGCCTCTCAACCATCCCCATCCACCAAATTGGCTCTTTCACGGTCTCTCCACTCCACCTATAGTTGATGTGTGGTGAAGCACTGGTGCTGTTGTCCTGTGGCATTCAAGTACAGCTGCACACTGGTGGTGGTGGTGTGGAGAGACCCCCCTCATGATTGTAAAGCGCTTTGGGTGTATGGCCATACATGATAAATGCACTATATAAATACAGAAAAAAAAAATAATATTAAAAATATATTCTTGATCTTAATTAACTTTTTATTATAATGCATGTAAAATAGCTCTGAACATTTAATTGTGTGATTTTTAAGCTTCATTTAAGAAGCCAACACACTCTCTCCTCAGCAGTTATTATTTTCCCCAGCAACCAAACCATAATAATCCCATAATAGTCCAGTGATTATAACGTCTGTGTGAGAGGAGTCCTTCTTGATGTCAGTGAATGGGGAAAATCTCTTTTATTTCCACACGTTTGACTGCGGAGTTTCCTGAAATTTGTGCATCAGAAGGAGACGGATGCTGTCATTACACTCTGATCACAGAGGAGTGAGCGTGCGTGCGTGTGTGTGTGTTTTCATTTTCATATTGCTAAGCATCCAGTAAACACACACACACACACACACACACATCAGATAATCACAGCATCACCATCATCTTATAGTGCAGGTTTATTAGTGGATTTGGGTTAAGTAGAATTTTGTGGATGGATTTTTATGTGTGTGTGTGTGTGTGTGTGTGTGTGTGTGTGTGTGTGTGTGTGTGTGTGTGTGTGTGTGTGTGTGTGTGTGTGTGTGTGTGTGTATGTGTGTGTGTGTGTGTGTGTGTGTGCGCGCGTGTGGGTGTGTGTGTGTGTGTGTGTGCATGTGTGTCTGTGTGCATGTATGTATGTTTATGTGTGTCTGCATGTGTCAGTGTGTGTGTGTGTGTGTGTGTTTATGTGCATGTGTGTGTCTGTGCAATAGTGTAGCTTAAATATTTCGTGTTATCTTTTAGAGTTTGGTTAATTGTGTGTATTTGTTGTTTTATTTGATTATATTCGATTTATTTTAGGATAATTTTGAGTATATTTCAGTGAGGTTTCCATTTATTGTTTAAGATTTAGTTATAGATAGGGACATCAGTCTCATGTTCACAGCATTGTTCAGTCTCATGTAAAAGTAAAAAGATTAACCAGTTTCATTATTAACCGCAGTTTAATTCGTCACGGTTAATTAATAGTAAAGGCTCTCAACACCGCATTCCTGCACGAAAGAAAACTACTGCAAAGTTGCACCAACTGTGCTCTAGTTTAAAGTTCACAATACCCACACACACTGGATTAAAGGCTGATTTTAACTATGGCTGTGACCATTAACTAAGGGCCATTCGCATATCCCATCTTCTGTGCGTGCAACTTTACTATTTTAAATGGAGGCATATGGCTTGCACATTGCCCCGAACGCATCGTAAACCGTGTGTCAAGAACTGACTGATCAGCTTCATACTTTGTGGCACAATCAGCTGCAATCTAATCCTTACAGATCACTGGTAAACACACATATCACATAGGACTACAAATCTGCTGGTATATGGACTACAAGATCCGGTCATGCAACTCACACACACACCTGCTCCAAGTCTCCATTGATTACAATCCCACAGCTAATGCTGCTCATGGACTACACGCATATATACGGCTCACCTTGACACTCTCACTGCTGAGTCTTGTTTATCTGTTAGTATCTGTTGTTTTCTGGTGATTTTATTATTTGTTATTTGAAATAAAAAATGAAAATCAAAACATTTTTGAATTTTGCTTTTCCGTTTTTCACCATGAAAAACAAGCAGTTTTATTGATTTTAGTTTTTAAATTCAAAAACGAAAATAAAAAAAAACACATTGAGTTTCAATATTCATTTGTTAATTTTAAAACGAAAACCAAAAAACAACTTATTTTTTGTTTTTCAAAATCTGTTTCTAAAATAAAAATCCAATGAACAAAAGATACACAGACCTAATATGTAGCTAGATTTACATTAGACAAATACATTTTTTATTATTCTTATTTATTTATTTATTTATTCATTCATTCATTCATTCATTCATTGTTCTGACATTTATTTTAAGTGTAAAATTATTACTTAATTTTTAAAACAAAATCTATAGTTGTTGCATGCATCCGTAGTTATTGTTATGATAATTAAGTTAAATTATTGGAAAAATGAATAATATTGAACTTAAAATAATTAATAAAAAATAAAGGCTGCTTTTATTTTATTGTTTTTATTCTATTATGCTTTAATTATATTGTTTTATTCATAGCTGAAACAAAACAAATAAAACTTTCTCCAGAAGAACAAATATTAGAGGAAATACTGTGAAAAATTCTGAATCTGTTTAACATCATTTGGGAAATATCTGACAAAGAATAAATATTGCAAATAGTTCTGACTTGAACTGTAAATACATTTACACCATTTTTATTTAATGTATTTATTTGTATCCTCTAATATTGTGTTCGTCCTGCAGGTGTTCCAGGTGGCGTACATCATCATTAAAGCAGCAAACTCTCCTCGACCTGGAAACTGGATTCTGGAGCGTTCCCTGGACGGCGTGAACTTCCAGCCGTGGCAGTTTTACGCCATTAGCGATACTGAGTGTTTGACGCGCTACAACATCACACCGCGCATCGGCCCGCCGACGTACAAGAGAGACGACGAGGTGATCTGCACATCGTACTACTCTCGCCTGGTGCCGCTGGAGCATGGAGAGGTGAGCAAACTGTGTGTGTGTGTGTGTGTGTGTGTGTGTGTGTGTGTGTGTGTGTGTGTGTGTGTGTGTGTGTGTGTGTGTGTGTGTTTGTGTGCGCGTGTGTGTGCGTGTGCGTGCGCGCGTGTGTGTGTGTGTGTGTGTGTGTGTGTGTGTGTGTGTGCTTTATGCTCTCTTTTAAATCAATTTTAATATATTTTTTTAAATGTTGTGTTTTTTATGCTTATGTTTTAGTAAATTTTATTACATTTTTAGTTATAATTATTAATAATTTTAATAAAAATTAATCATGTTTAATTTCAATTATATTTTCCTTGGCAACTATCAGAAGTAAAAGATACATTTTATTTTGTTTTATTTTATTTTATTTTAATTATATTACATTTTTATTAAATTTTATTGTTTATTTAATTTTTATTTAATTTATTTTATTATTTTTTTAATTTTTAATTTTATTTCATTTTATTTTTTACTGGACAGCTGAATAAAAAATGCTTTTAATTTAATTTTTATTTTTATTTTTTACATTTTATTTACTCAATAGCTAAATAAACTGCTTTTATATTTTTTTATATTACATTAAATTAAATTATATTTTATTTACTGGACAGCTGTAAAAAAAAAACTTTTTTTTATTTTGTTTAATTTTTACTGGGCAGCTGAATAAACTGTGCTTTTATTTTTATTGTATTTTTAACCATGCATATTTTATTTTATTATTACTGGACAGGTTTTTATATTTAATTAAATTTTATATTATTTTGAATGGACAGCTGACTAAACCATGCTTTTTCATTTTATTACATTATTATATTACTGCACATGAAATAAACAAAGCCATGTTCTGTGAGGTGTTTTACAGTGTCAGTCTCTCTGCAGATCCACACGTCTCTGATTAACGGCCGTCCCAGCGCTGACGATCTGACACCGGAGCTGCTGGAGTTTACATCGGCGCGGTTTATACGCCTGCGCCTGCAGAGGATCCGGACGCTCAACGCAGACCTGATGACCCTCAGTTACCGAGACCCCAAAGACGTGGACCCCATCGTCACCCGACGGGTACCAGTTTACCACATTACTGCTTTAAAGAAGACCTGTTACGCAGAAATCACGTTTATAAGGAGTTGTGTGTCAGCAGTGTGTAAATATATCCAGCCTCTCATGATAAACATTAACTCTATTTCACTTGATGAGTGAAGCACTTTGATTGACATTCTCCCTACGTGTCATCAGAGGGGGAAAGCCCCGCCCACTAGTGCCCATCTCTCCATCTCATTAGCATAAGCAGCAGCCCTGAGTGAGAAGCAGCCGTCTGTCCATTAGCCATTAGAGTGTTTGAGCTGCTGAAGATGATGTCAGCATAGACTAAGAGCATTATAGATGTGGAGTTCTAGATATATTTTCATTTAATATTCTGCATTAATATTTAATACCTTTCTTTAAATAAATTGGAACTATACCTAAATTCAATTTCAATGATTAGTGATAAGAAAGCTGTTCAAACTTATCGAAGTTGTGCTGTGTGCTTAATATTTTTAATATTTCATGTGTGTTTCTTTGTTTTTTTCTAATCTCTTTCTTACTATACTCAATTTAATTTCTTACTATAGTTCAGTTTAGTTATTAATTTCTTAATTGTAAAATTATTTTAGGGGGTTACGATAGTGTATATTAATATCTTCTGAATGAATAACTGTATTATGGTCTGTTTTTCAGTATTATTACTCCATCAAGGACATCTCAGTGGGCGGGATGTGCATCTGCTATGGCCACGCCCAGAGCTGCCCCTGGGACCCTGTTACCAAGGTAACCGTCAACACATTGGAGCTGAAGCTGCCAATCAAACTATAGTGTGCCATTAGCCCCGCCTCTCTAAACAAACAAATACATTAATGAAGTATAAATACAAAATAATCTTTGGTAACAAGTTTAAAGGGTCGCGAAACACCCAAACACATTTTTGACATGTTGACAGTCATATATATATATCTGTGTCTCACGATGCTAAAAACAAAAAAGTGAAAATTGGTTGTTTTTGGGTTATTTCGAGCAAATTTATTCTTCTGGTTTGAAAATGAATGTTGAAGCTGTGTCAGAGTGATTAGATCCTTGTGTGTGTATTCCAGCGTGGAGACTGGATGTCAGTACAGGCAAGTACTACGTGACGTCTTTGAGACTTCATTATTAATTCATGACAAAGACTTGGTTTGAACCAATCAGCGTGCTCTATTGTGAATGAGGCAACCCAACCTCATTCTGGAAACGTAGCCCCGCGGACGTTTCTGGAGACCGCGATTTACGTGGGCGGAGGTACGTAAAGGCCGCGTTTAGTTTTTTTCGAGCGAACGCCGCGGGGCGGTGTGGCGCCGCTCCGCCTCTCCTCTTTGCGCTTGCCGGCTTTCCCGATGCAATCAGTTTGTCCGCTTAGCTCACAGCGTTGCGTCGGCGGAGCGGAGGCCCCGGAGGAGGAGCCGACCGGGATGGAGTCCGGGGAACAGCAGGTTCCGGAAATCAGGTAAGACGAAAAACGAAATCCGAAAAATAAGGGCGAGAACGCGGTGGGATCCGAAAACGCGGTCGAAATTGAAGACGTGGGCTTTTGCTTTTTTTTTTTTCTGGACGGCTTTTGCGAACCGTCGCTCGGGTTTAGGGAAAGAGGAGGAGGAAGAGAAGGGCGGCCGAGTCGGCCGATTCGGCGGCTTTTTGCGCGAGAACGGCGCGGGCGCGAACCATCGCATACGGTTCCGCGATAACAAAAAACACTCGAATACATACCTCCCGGGACGTAAATCGCGGTCCGCAGAAACGTCCGCGGGGCTACGTTTCCACAATGAGCCCGGGTTGGAATGAGGTGCAACTTCATTAATATGCATGATAAAGCTTCAAAGGCTGCTTTTACCTGTTACAATGTTCGGAGAGACGCCATGTTGTGTTGCCAACTGCAGTGATGCAGCTATAGCATTCATTTTCAAACCGGAGGAATGCATTTGCTTAAAATAATGCAAAAACAACCAAATTTTCACCTTTTTACTGAAATATATGTGTGCTAATAGTGTTTTTAACCGACACATATATGACTGTCAACATCTCAAAACATGTTTTTTGTTGTTTCATGACCCTTTAAGTCACGATTAATGCTATTAACTACTGGATTATTGCATGCCTATTATTAAGATATGAACTGTTCATTAGTAGATATAATGGATGAACTTATTCTGCATTCCTAATCCTACCACAACCTAAACCCAACTTCTACCTCTATGATTAATAAACTGCTAATAATTAGTTTATTAAGCTAGTAGTGTTAGTTAATGGTTTGTTAATGCCGTGAATTGTGACTTACAATAAAGTGTTATGGTTTTTCTGCTTATTTTATAACTAAAAAGAGTCCTTTATGGTATAAAAAATGTATTCATATTTTTAAGTGGTCCCTTATTTGGACAAGAGTCATGATACTGCATTACTATTATTTCAGAGTGAAAGTAATATGTGTATGAAGTGAATCAATTTATATTGTATACAGTTGCAGTCAGAATTATTCGCCCCCTTTGAATTTCATTTTTAATATTACCCAGATGATGTTGAACAGATTCAGGAAATGTTCACAGTATTTCTGATAATATTTGTTCTTCTGGAGAAAGTCTGATTTGTTTTATTTCGCCCAGAATAAAAGCAGTTTTTAGTTTTTTAAACACCATTTTAAGGTCAATATTATTAACCTCTTTAAGCTATCATTATACAATAACTTGCCTAATTACCATAACCTGCCTAGTTACCCTAATTACCCTAGTGAAGCCTTTACATGTCACTTTAAGCTGTATAGAAGTGTCTTGAAGAATATCTAGTCTAATATTATTTACTGTCATCATGACAAAGAGAAAATAAATCAGTTATTAGAGATGAGTTATTAAAACTATTATGTGCAGAAATGTGCTGGAGAAATCTGCTCTCTGATACACAGAAACTGGGGAAAAAATAAACAGGGGGGCGAATTATTATTATTTCAACTGTATATGAGTTATATATTCGAGTATATGATATATTTGAGTTTTATTTTTTTATTTTTGTTTGTTTCCACACTGTGGGAGTCTATGGAAATTTTAAATATTACTTTGCATTTATCAAAATGGCATAATTCTGAGTGTGAGTTTGGGTGTGTGTGTGTATATATATGAGTTTATGTGTGTGTGTGTGTGTGCGTGTGTTGGTGTGTGTGTGTGTGTGTGTGTGTGTGTGTGTGTGTGTGTGTGCATGTTTGTGCATGAGTGTATGTATTTGGATGTATGTGTATATGAGTGTTGGTGTGTGTGTGTTAGAATGTTCGTGCATGTTTTTGTTTGTGCATGTGTGTGTGTGTGTGTGTGTCTCATTCTCTTGTCTGCTGTCTCCGCAGAAGCTGCAGTGTGTGTGTGAACACAACACTTGTGGTGAGAGCTGTAATGAGTGTTGTCCTGGATACCATCAGGAGCCATGGCAGCCGGGAACGCTCTCCGACGGCAACACTTGCGAGAGTAAGACACAATGGACTGGTCATAACTGTAGGAAAAGTACATTGGTGATACACTGATAGATAGTGATAAATAAATACATATTTAAATACTGGCGTCATGGTGGTGCAGTGGGTAGCACAATCACCTCACAGCAAGACGGTCGCTAGTTCGAGCCTCGGCTGGGTCAATTGACATTTCTGTGTGGAGTGTGTATGGATGTTTCCCAGTGTTGGGTTGCAGCTGGAAGGGCATCCTTTGCGTAAAACATGTGCTGGATGGGTTGGCAGTTCATTCTGCTGTGGTGACCCCCGATTAATAAAGGGACTAAGACAAAGAAAGCACTCAGTCAAGTTGACATTATTTTGTACATTGGATTCAGCTATAATAAAATATATATTCAGCAAACTCAATTATTGTAAGCATTTAGCTGAAAACAGCATGATTTACTAAAGCTTTTAGACCTAGGGCGCTGTCATCTTGGAATATTGCTGTGTTTGACGTCATTGGGTTGGTTCCATTCCCTCAGCTGAACAGATACAGTGGAGGTAAAAGACTGAACACGGAGACTATCAAGCCTAATTTAACCCAATGCGTGAAGTTGTGGAGGTGGAGCTGGTGCAGATACAAGCATCAGACGTGTGTCTAATATAAAAATTAGGGATGCACATTATATCGGCGGCAATATCGTTATCGGCCGATAAATGCTATTTTTAAGATTATCGTTATCGATCCGATGTCTAAATTAAGCCGATATATTTAAGCCGATAAATTGTGTAATTGTGTAATTGTGTGGCGGAACTTGTTTAGACATCCTGTGCACTATATTGGAGCTCTCCTCACATTGTTTGTTCATTTAAAGTCTGTTCTTTCTTCGTGTGGTATTGCTGTGCTTTAATAACTAACCATGCTCCTTAGCATTGTAGATATGTTTGATTGGGTGCCATTTAGGAATGCGACTATAACCGCATACCGCCATAATGAGATGTCAATTACAGTGATGTGGTTATTATCGTCATCACCGCCCATTTTTAGTTTATTATTTATTTTTGCTCGTGAATCTTTCTGGATTATATAGAAAAACAGAATAAACTAAATAAAAGGAATAAAAGGCCTGCCCTAAGAATTTTCCACTTACAAATTTAAATTACAAAATGAAAACACTGACTGAATCCTTTTTAGCAACCGCCATAGGCTATTTTTATTTCAAGTTTATTTGAATAAACCAGACCTACTAACTCAAATCAATCGCTCCATGGAAAATAAGCATTTTTAACGCACCGCTGTAATTTCTATATCCCAAACCCTTTTCAATATTTTTAATACAAGTCTTTATTTTAAAGATTATGACATGAGAATATGATTTTACCTTAGCGCTGCACTTTTCTCCTTTTCTCATTCTCCCTCGTGCTGAGTTCAGGTGACGGCGTGTCAAACCGGCACAAGAATATCAGTATATTAATATAGGCTTTGCTAAAAGGCTGGTCAAATGTAGGTCTTTTTTTTTTTACAGAAGGCAGAAGTTATAAACAGACACGCATGCTGCGACCGCGGTGAAGAGACAACCATCGCATATGTTGACCTATTTAAAGTAGGCGATAGGCTATAGCATATAATAATTTTGTATTAAAAAGTTTATAAAAAAGTAGCCAATATATCACAGGGGTTTGTGCAGCAGCAATTACAGTGGAGCATTAATCAAATCCTTTTTTCCTGCGGAGCGAAACAAATTCTGCAAAGTTGTGTAGCGGATGGGGACGCACAAAAATATACAATTCATATATTTTTGTTGGAAGAAAAATATTCTTAGAACGAATTTCGTTTCATACAATTTTATCTTAGTTTTTGTCGGTCAGTTATTTTTATATATATATTTATCTATATATGTATATTAGACACACATCTGATGCTTGTATTTGCAGTAGCTCCCCGTCCACAACGTCACGCATTGGGTTAAGTTAGGCTTGATAGTCTCCGTGTTCAGTCCATTACTTCCACTGTATCTGTTCAGCTGAGGGAACGGAACCAACCCTGTGACGTAAGACAGCCATATTCCAAGATGACAGCGCCCTAGGTCTAAAAGCTATAGTAAATCATGCCATTTTCTGCTAAATGCTTACAACAACCGGAATTGCTAAAATGAAAATGTTAAACAGCCATATTCACAACATCACAGGACCTTTGAAGTGCACATGAAATCCAAACTAACATATTGATTCTACGAGCTCATATGTGTGTGCTCTCTCTCGTTTACCAGAGTGTAATTGTCACAACAAAGCCGACGACTGTTTCTACAACCAGACGGTGGCGGATCTGAAGCTGAGCATGAACACACACGGCCAGTTCACAGGAGGAGGAGTGTGTGTGAACTGCAGACACAATACAGCGGGAGTGAACTGTGAGACCTGTGCGGACGGATACTACAGACCCCACCAGGTGAGTGTTACAGGCGGAAATAGCAAGTGTTTACAATAAATCGAACGCCATTACCCAAAACTTACCCCTGTCAGATTTAGGTGGGGGAATAATAATAATCTTCATCATCATTAATAAAAAATATGAAATCTAAACACCAAACACCAATCGCACAACTTCTGTTCAACAGCTCCATTTATCACAAAGCCTCACACATATTACAAAACTCAGTAATTTTCAGAGGTTACATATCTGAGCTTTTCAGGATGTTCAAGATGGCTTTCAGCTCCAGAAGTGCTGGATTCAGCTGCTCATATGTGTGTGTGTGTGTGTGTGTGTGTGTGTGTGTGTGTGTGTGTGTTTCAGGTGTCTCCGTATGCAGAAGAGCCGTGTGTGGAGTGTCAGTGTGATATGAGGGGTTCAGTGAGTCCTGTGTGCATCAGAGATGATAATCACGCAAACCCAGACGCAGGTAGAGTATCGCCATCTGTTTCTGCAGATTCAGCATGAGTGTGTGTGTGCAGTGTGTGATGTTGTTTGTGTCGTGCAGGTCTGTCTCCAGGTCAGTGTGTGTGTAAGGAGGGTTTTGCGGGAGAGAAGTGTGACCGCTGTGCGTTCGGCTTCAGAGATTTCCCGGTGTGTTCTCGCTGCGAGTGTAGCCTGGATGGGAGCCACAACACCGATCCCTGTATGGAGTGTGTGTGCAAGGTACTAAAACACACACACACACGCACACACACACACACACGTCACTCACAGGGTTGGGTAATAAACTTTAAAAAAAAAAAACTTTTTAAAAGTTTTTTGTTTTGATTTTGTTTTGTTTTATTTTATTTTGTGTATTTTTGTTTTGTTTTTGTGTTTTTCTTTTGTTTTGTTTAGTTTTTTTTGTTTTGTTTTTGTTTAGTTTTTTGTTTTGTTTTTGTGTTTTTTTTTTTTTTTGCTTAGTTTCTGTTTAGTGTTTTTTGTTGTTTTTTGTTTTGTTATGGATTTTAAAAATTTAGATTTTGTGTTTTTTTGTTTAGTTTTTTGTTTAGTTTATTTTTTGGGTTTTATGTTTTCTCTTTTGTTTTTTTTGTTTTAGTGTTTTGTTTTTGTGTTTTTTTGTTTAGTTTTTTTGTTTAGATTTTGTTTAGGGTTTTTGTTTTTTGTTGATTTTTGTTTTGTTTTGTTTTTTTAAAATTTAGATTTTAGATTTTACATTGTTTTTTGTTTAGTTTTTTGTTTTGTTTTTATGTTTTATTTGTTTTTTTTGTTTTTTTTGTAGTTTCATTTTTTGTTTTGTTTTTGTGTTTTTGTTTTGTTTTTATGTTTTCTTTTTTGTGTTGTTGTTTGTTTTATTTTGTTTTGTGTTTTTTGTTTAGTTTTTTATTTTGTTTAGTTTTTGTGTTTTGGGTTTTTTTTTGTTTTTGTTTAGTTTTTTGTGTCATTTTTGTTTAGCTTTTTGCTTTGCATTTGTGTTTTTGTTTTTATGTTTTTCTTTTATTTTGTTTTTGTGTTTTTTGTTTTGTTTTTGTTGTGTTTTAATTTGTTTAGTTTTAGTTTTTTGTGTTTTTGTGTTTTATTTTGTTTTGTTTTTTTTTGTTTTGTTTTTTTCTTTTGTTTTTGTTTATTTTTTGTTTCGTTTTTCTGTTTTTATTTTGCTTTTTTCTTTTGCCTTTGTGTTTTATTTTTGTTTAGTGTTTGTTTTGTTTTTGTGCTTTTTGTTTAGTTTTTCTGTTTTTTATTTGTTTTAGTTGTGTTTTAATTTTTGTTTGTATAATTTTGTTTTTGTGTTTTTGTTTTGGTTTCTTTTTGTTTTTTATGTTGTTTTTTGCGTTTTTTTTTCTTTTGCTTTTGTGTTTTGTTTTTGTTCAGTTTTTCTGTTATTGCATCATTTTAGTTGTGTTTTTATTTTTGTTTTTATAATTTTGGTTATGTTTTGTTTTTGTGTTTTTTTTTTGGTTTTGTTTTTTTTTATGTTGTTTTGTTTTGCGTTTTTTTTCTTTTGCTTTTGTGTTTAGTTTTTGTTTTGTTTTTGTATTTTTTTGTTTTGTTATTTTTTTTTGTTTTGTTTTATATGTGTTTTTATTTAGTTTTTGTATAATTTTGCTTTTGTTTAGTTTTCACACACGTCACTCACACACAGGGTTGGGCAACACTTTAAAAGTGAATTTATAGTATGGAAGTGCTGAGGTGGTTGAAAAAAACAGTTAATTGTTTTATTGGTACGCAAAGATTTTCATTTTGTTTTGATATAGTTCGTCTGTGTTATAGTTTAGTTTTTAGTTTATTTCAGTTTATATATAACCAAAGACTAATAATTCAAACAATATACTTTAAACGGCTAATTTCCTAAGCATGTCCTTATGTCTGACAAATAAAACCTTTAGTTGAAAAATATAATATTTCTACTAAATATATTTAATGTATCTCCTTCTCTGAACTGCTGGATTGATTTACAGTATTAAATATAAGTACTTTGTAAGAAACAGTAATGAACTGACCTATAGATGTACGCTAATATCTTACTTTAGTTTATCAGTGTATCAGTCATTTAGTTACAGTAACTTTTTAGCTTATAACTCATTTTTACACCCAACACTGTGAGAAATGCTGAATGTTTTTTTTTACGTTTTCTCTTTTGTGTATGTGTGTGTGTGTGTGTGTGTGTGTGTGCGTGCTTGTGTGCGTGCTTGCGTGTGTGTGTGTGTCCCCTCAGGCGAATGTGATGGGCTCTCACTGTGACCTGTGTAAGCAGGGCTTCTATAACCTGCAGGCCAGCAATCCTGAAGGCTGCACCGAGTGTTTCTGCTTCGGTGTGTCAGATGTGTGTGAGAGCTCCACCTGGTTCAGCAGCTCGGTACATTTATTCACACACAGTCTCACCCGCACACACAAAAAAACACACAAACCAAAAACAAGTTAAAGTAACCCTGAGTGTGTCTGTTCAGGTGGTGCACAGAGACGGCGTCCTCCATCGCCTGCACCAGACCTCCATCAGCTTCTGGTCTCCAGTTTCTGATGAAAACCTGATCATCTCCAACAGATCCACAGATGCAGACCCCTCCTCTGTGTGGACATGGGCCGCTCCGGAGCCTTTCCTCAATAACAAGGTGATCTGTGTGTGTGTGTGTGTGTGTGTGTTTGTCTTTCTGTATTTTTATATTATGTTATCATATATATATATATAATATGTGTGTGTGTGTTTGTTTACTTTGCTTTGTACTTTTATAAACCATTAACAATATATAGAAAGAGATGAAACGTTGAAGAATAACAAATGTTGAACGGAAATTAAATCAAAATTAATCTAAAATGACAATTCAGAGCTGCTTTTTAACTGAAGCTTGTTTAGTAACTGTTCATCATCCACACTGATGCTGTTATTTTCTTGTGTATTACTGTGAAGCTGCTTTTAATCAGTCTGCATGTATAAAGTGCTGCATTTGTAACTTGTATATCTCCGTCATTTGTTTCTGCTGTAGCTGACGTCATATGGAAGCTTCTTGAACTACAGTGTGGCGTATGACACTTCTGAGGAGAACGTGGACAAAACACTGCGCTCACACTTCAGCGTAATTATTGAGGTGAGATGATCAGTATTCTGCGTTTATCTGGATGTATTTGTTTAACAGCGGCTCAGTGGCGGATTTAGGCAATATGGGCGATCGCCCAGGGCGGCATCTTGCTGGGGGCAGCATGGGGAGTAAAGGCTTTGAGTTATGATTTACTTTATGCAAGTGTATTAATTTAGGGTGGTAATCCTAAAATAAAGATGTTAGGGGACATTCACATTTGCAGTCTTTTGCGCAAGTTTGTTATTCTTTATGTACGACCGAAAGAACACTGGTGAAAACAAATGGACGCATGTGCACAGAAAACCATTCCCGCACGCCTCACACGCGCTGCTCCTGATCCCAGTTGCACATGCATGCTGATAAAATACACTCTGCTCATGCACCGAAGTAACAGCGTTTTATGTAGACATCTCAGCACGCAGCGAGTTTTGCGAGTCCATAAGGCTGAAGTTTATATAATATAATGTTGATGTTATTTTAACTAAGCATGTCTATGAAGCAGAAAGGAGGAATACTGGGTCAGGGAGGTAACTAAAGCTGCGTCCCAAATCGCATAGTTATGCACTATTCTACGCCATTTTGTAGTATAAATAGTGTAAAATTCTAAAAATAATAAGTGCACTTTAATTACCCGGATGATGCACTCATTCAGCCGCTAAAGTGAAGTGTGTAATGATGGACACTTCACGCACTCAACGAACGCAGGTTTGCTTACGTAGCGGAAGGGGCGGAGCTATCAGACGCGCATGTTGAATAACTTTATTTATTTTGGATGGTGAAAGCAAAATTCTCCTACGAGAGTGATTATAGCGCCTCCCGATGGTGAATACGGCAGTACTCACGGCAGGTATATTTGATAATTCAGTCGTTTATTTCACTGATTTGGCAACCGTCAAACGTTATCAGGGAAACGGTTTGAATTTCCGCTTAGTAAAAAAACATTAGTGTGCCATTTGGGATGCCACAACACACATATACTATCCTGTTGAGTGTGTAAGTGCATAAGTACATAGTGCATGAGTGTATAGTGTGCCATTTGGGACGCAGCTTAAGACTTCATAACAACAATTTTTTGCCATTAGTCGATTCTAAATCCTGGTTTATACTTCTGCGTCAAGTGACCGGTGTAACTCACGGCGCATGCAACGCGCGCAGCTGTGCATTTATACTTCTGCTGCTGTCTCTGTTGGTCTGCATTAACACTTCTGAAACGCTAGTTGGCAGTGAGGTTTTAATATTCCTCTGTGTCGAGTTTCTTCTCTGCTGTTTTGCTTTTCCTGAACACTTCCTGGATGTACAAGTGGCACAAACTCGCTCATTTTGAGGCAGGAACCGGCGGACGTGCAACAACTTTAACTATGAGGTAAACACAAAACAAAACTTTCCATCCGGAGCTCCTTCACGGGACTCCACACTTGTAAACAATCGCTACATTGGGTTTGCGGCATTCGCGCGGCTCTCGGTCCCGCCAAGACTCGTCAGCGCTACCAAGCCGACCAATCACAGAGCTTGCGCTACGCGTTGTTGCGACGTGTAGTTACATTTATTGAGAGGTGCACGTCAGTGACGGCGAAGGCCACGGCTAAGGGCTATGCATCAGCGCCGTAGCATACACCGGCGTTTGACGCAGAAGTATAAATCAGCCTTAAGACAACAGACAATTCTGTGAAACATGTATTTTTTAGTATTCTATAGAATTATCTTAATTAATATTAATCTTAATTAAATATTTTGTAAAAGTGATCCTAGAATATTACTCCAGTTGTTACATTGTTTTCCAGTTACATTAAGGATTGATTTCTGTTACTTATTTAAAATAATAATAATTTTATAATATTATTATTAATAATAATAATAATAACAATTTTATTTAAAATAAATAGAAACAAATTGTTATATTTATTAAAAAAACTAAAAATATTTAAATGTATTCATAATACATATTTCTTTTTTTTTCTCGGGAGATGTTGGAGGGGATATATTTGGGGTGGTTTCGCTCAGGATGCCATTTAAACAAGAACTAGAACCCCCACTGCAACGGCTGCTTCTCACTCAGGGCTGCTGCTTATGCTAATGAGATGGAGAGATGGGCACCAGTGGGCGGGGCTTTCCCCCTCTGATGACATGTACAAAGGGAGAATGTCAATCAAAGTGTTTCATTCATCAAGTCTGATTATATCAAACACAATTAATACATGTTGAGGCTGTTGGAGATATTCACACACTGCTCACACACACACAACTTGGGTTAAACATCACATAAATGTGACTTCTGCATTATAAAATAGTACTTAATTGTGTTTATATCACTATAATGTGGCTGTGTACACACAACAAACAGCTATCCAAATGTTGGTTTTGCATAATAGGAGCCCTATAATATCATGTGTGTGTGACTGAGTGTGAATGTGTGTGTTACAGGGTAACGGGCGCACGCTGAGGCAGGCGCAGTCGGCTCGTCTGCTGCTGAACGCTCACACACACCAGCGTGTGTTTGTGCAGATGCTTCCGCAGATCTTCATAGACTCACACAGCGGCAGGAGCGTGCAGAGAGACGAGCTGATGACGGTGCTGGCGGACGTTGCTGCGCTCAGGGTTCGAGCCGAGCTGGAGGACAGCGCTGAGGGAACGCTCAGGTCAGACACATGCAGAACATATCCTGATGAATGCTTGACTCTGATTGGCTGATGATAGACAATACAGTCTGTACACTATAAAAACAATGGAAACCTATGGAAGGTCCCGACAATTCACAAAAACAAACCTCTGTGTGTGTGTGTGTGTGTGTGTGTGTGTGTGTGTGTGTGTGTGTGTGTGTGTTTCGTCCACAGGTTGAGTCACGTGTCTTTAGGTGTTGGAGACTCAAACTCCGATGTGTCTAAAATCTCTCTAGATGTGGAGCACTGTGAGTGTCCGTGGGGGTATTCAGGCACTTCCTGTGAGGTAACAAACCACTTCCAGGTCACTTCATCAGTATTTTGCTGTATCCCAATTCGCATGCTGTCCATTTTAAATATTCAAGAGTTCACACTTAGCTGATGATTGATTATAAAGCTTGTTTGGCATGCTGTCCCGGGAGAGAGCCCTGAGCTCATGATCTTTGAGCCCGGGGCTCCCTCCCGTTGCAAGACGAAAGGGGAGTTTGAGCTTAGGTACATGTAGAGAACTCCCCTGCTGTAGTAACCAATGAACAGTAAGTGAATGCTCTATATACTAGAAGCATGTGTATGGTGCTGATTTGGATTAGTCAATTCAATAAAATATAATTCAAGCTGCATGTTTTTGTACGGTGGGAGGAAACCGGGAAACCCACTTGAGCACGGGGAGAAAGTGCAAACTCCAAACAGGAAGAAGGAGGAGTAGGGATGGAAGGGGGGACTCTTCAAAATGAAGAGAGCAGTGGAATGAAACCCAGGGTATTTATAGCAGTTCAGGAGTCGTCTGATTGGAGCATTGTGAACTGGATAATGCTAATCCAGCCGCTAGCAATCATAAGCACGTGATCCTCTCGACATTTATACATAAACTTCACGTAATTGAAAATAGAATAACTCCATCCTTAACTGTAGTATGTTGAAGCGTCTGTACTCTAACTGCTGATTTTACCCATAATACTTTGCATGTTGGAGGTGAATTCGATTAGAACTACAAACTCAGGGAAAAAGTCTAAACAAACTACAAACATGGCGGACGCACTAGACCAGCCGTCAACTAGAGAGGCTTCTGTAAAGATGTTAGAAAGACTGCTAATTAATATCAGGTCATCTGGACAATATTTAATTCACATTTTCCATGTTTTATTTGATCTGCAACAACAATGTGAACTCCTATAAAAAAATAGGTAGTGCTGTCACCTCACAGCAAGAAGGTCGCTGGTTCGAGCCTCGGCTGGGTCAGTCGGCGTTTCTGTGTGGAGTTTGCATGTTCTCCCTGTGTTTGTGTGGGTTTCCTCAGGGTGCTCCACAGTCCAAACACATGCGCTATAGGGGAATAGCGTAGGCAAAATTTTCCGTACTGAATGAGTGTGTATGGATGTTTCCCAGTGATGGGTTGCGGCTAAAAGGGCATCCGCTGCGTAAAAACTTGCTGAATAAGTTGCCGGTTCATTCCGCTGTGGCGACCCCAGATTAATAAAGGGACTAAGCCGACAAGAAAATGAATCAATGAATGAATGATATATATTTGTTTGGAAATTAACTTCTGAATGTATAATTATCCAAACCCCTGAGGAGATTTCTCTGCATGTAAGACTGTTGAATGGCAGATTAACACACAGCTGAATCTACAATAGCGTAGGTTATTAAATATGACTGAAGGTATGTGGATGATGTGTGGAGATGATTGACAGGGCTTGTAACTAAGCAACAGGTGCAGCATTTGTATTTGTGGACACATGGATGCACGCATGAGCCAGTGTCTGAAGTATTTTTAACCCTGTGTTTGTGTGTGTGTGTGTGTCCTCAGTTGTGTATTCCTGGCTTTTATCGGGTCGGTGGGATTTTGTTCGGAGGAAACTGTCTCCCGTGCGAGTGTAACGATCACGCGACGGAGTGTGACATCAATGGAGAGTGTCTGGTAGGTTTTCAAATGTGCAATGTTTATTTTGCTACAATAATGATTAACGATAATGAATTGGTGAGCGTGGTGTACGACAGATTGTTTTAGTCGCCACCATTCTCGCTGGAGGAAATGTCTACAGCAGGAGTGTCCAAACTTTTTGGACCGAGGGCCAGATGCAAAAAAAAAACGTTGTCGCTGGCCAAATTTTACATACATCACACAGACACGCATAGATAGATAGATAGATAGATAGATAGATAGATAGATAGATAGATAGATAGATAGATAGATAGATAGATAGATAGATGGATGGATGGATAGATAGATAGATAGATGATAGATAGATAGATAGATAGATAGATAGATAGATAGATAGATAGATAGATAGATAGATAGATAGATAGATAGATAGATAGATAGATAGATAGATAGATCATAACAAGAACTGCTGCTTAATTGAATGCATGTGATAGCAACACCCGGTGGTTATTTATTGAATTACGTTCATTTTTTTTATAGCGGGCCAGATTCTATTGATATTTATAAAAAGCCTCGTGGGCCGCCACAAAACTGATTGTAGTTTGGACACCCCTGGTCTACAGTAAAGCTGTACGGGTTGCTCACACATCATATGAGCAGCACTTCTCACAACACAGATGCTTTACACACATAAATACTTGTGTATAAATGTTCATCACTAACCTTTCAGCAACATGATCTGATTATAACTGCAGATCAATGACAATGTGAAATAGCCTACTGTAACGTCTGCAATTCTATAAAATCAATAAATAAATTAACGTATATGAACACACACAGCCCCTTACAGTCTCTGAAATGTTATCAGTTACTGATAAACTACACACAGCAGGCATTTAGTCCTTATTTGAGTTCATAAGCAACAGGAAATATAGCCTACAGCCAGAGCAGACCTCTAAGCAGTGTGTGTAACCTTCAGCAGCACATGTAACCTCTGTTCAGAGTCACTCCGTCATTCAGAGTTTATAATAGTCCAGAAGCTGCTGATAATATTTAATCATGTCAGTGTGTTCATCTGTTAGGTGCTGAAAGAATCATTTGCACGTCACTATCGCGTCTGTCTGTTTCTGAATGGATCAAGTGTCAGAAGCGCTTCAATAATCACGCGCACGTTGCTATCAGCTAAAGAAGTTTGTTATTTCTAATATAGACGCCCACGCGAGCTCTCTGGAGAAAGTGAAACCGCTCGTGCTTAGACGACCTCGTGAGCAATAACAGTACACGGCAGCTTTTCTTTTTTTGGCTTTGTGGCTGTTCATTAAGACGAAGGTCTATTAGAGCTCAGGTCGACCATGACTTGTTATAGTATGTATATATTATCATGCTGTAATGTCTCGGCTGTGTATTTAAAAATTTCGCTTTGTTTTTTTTCATCCTCCTGCTTGTGCATGCGCTAGTGACGTTTCTCTGGAAACCCATAGCGTTCAGCAGCATGTCTAGCTCCGGCTATTTGTTGTGGTAGATACCCTTTGGAAAGGATTCCCGAAAAGTGACAGTGGACACAAATGCAGTTTTTCCAGCGGTGGCAGCAGACACTGTTGGGCATTTTCCACAGATCTACCACTACATGTGGGGTTATTTCATTGACAAATGTCATGGGCGCAGTATTCAGTCGAGATCGCATTCATGTAATAGCCTACAAGCATGTCAATCTCTGCTTAAGCGCCGATTTCCTCTGTTCTTGCACAAAACTTCTTGTGCAAATACACGCTGCTCAAGTGCAGATTTTCATGCGCCCCCCTAAGTAAACACTGCTGAAGTGTGATTTAGTGCGTGTGTGTAGCGAGTCCGTCTCCAACATTTATTAGATTTGTTAGGAATATTTTTGAATGTCTCTGATAGACTTGCGGAGCGGACCGCGGCATTAATGCATCCTGAAGTAAAGTGAAGCGGCTGTAAACTCCAGCAAGATAAAGTCATTATATGCAGAGCCACAGACATTTATCTGTAAATAAAGTAGAGTTATGGAAACTGTGTTTATCAGAACTGAAAGCTACGCCGTGTTTGCTGATCTCACGCATCACACACCTGTCAGTCAGTCAGTCAGCACGTCACCTTAAAGGGTTAAACAGAACGCACAGCACTAAAAGTTTGCGCTGTTATTATTCACTTACCTTTTCATACGTTTTTGGTGCGATTTTAACCCGCTGTTTAAAAAACGACCGAATATTTTGAATTAGAAGCTGTAATGTAGCCGTGGCGGGATGAATTTTGGTGTGGCGCCCCGCCACGGAAGAATGAATGTAGTGGAAACCATGTAAATGCGTATCGCACCATAGTGTAAATGGGCCATCAGTTGAACAATTAATCTGAGCAGGTGAATTTAATGAAAATATATTTTGTTTCTCTTCAATCTTTAATCTTATAATACATTTTTCAGTTTAAATAATACATTTTTCATCATAAATGTCCTTTATGCAGTACTGTGAATGTTCCCACACGAATGCATTATTTTACATTGTGTAACAAAAGACTGTCTGAATTATTAAATGATGTTTATTTGTGAGTTTTGAAATAGTTTAGGGCAGGGGTTCTCAAACTGTGGTACGTGGGCTTCCTTCTAGTGGTAAGCGGAGATATCAAATGTGTCATGTACATGCTATATATATATTTCAAAATGTATTAAAATGATTTATATAGGAATAAGAAATATATATATATATATATATATATATATATATATATATATTTATTTTTATTTTTTTTTCGTTTTCAGTATGCTTGTTTTTTTTTACATATAACCAGGGCCAGATGGAATCGGCAGACGTTTTTTGGTATTTCTGCTGAGAATTTTGGGAAAAATCTGTGGATTTCTGCAGAATTATTTTGGGAGTATCCAGCGGAGTATCATAACTAAAACCATAATATATAAAATAAAAAGTAATAAATTACTGAATAAAAACTGAATTTGTCACGATTAGCGTGATCAAAACAATAACAAAAACGGGAACAAAAGATAGCGGATTCAAGTGCAAATTTTAATATAATATAGTGCAAAAACAGAGAACAAAAATCCAAAAATATCAATGTGCAAAGTAACAAACAAAACAAGAAACTAAGGCAGATAAACACGAACTAGACATTAGCAGGACACAAGAACAAGATCAGGAACAAACTCGATATACAAGACTTACTGGGCAACTTGACAAGGACAACAAGGTAGACAAACAACGCAATAACAAACAACTGAGGAATTATGGAATATATAGTCCAGATAATCAACGGTAACACAGAACAGATGCGATGACAGATCCGTGTATGTGTTCCAGTGTATGCGCGTGGGATGTATGGAATTGTAGTCTTCTGGGATGCTGTAGTGCATCAGGACTCAGAAGGCACTACAACGTCCCAGAAAGACTACAATTCCGCGCCCTCAGGTGTTCACTGACAGATGTGACAGAATTAATTCAGATTGACACATTTACTCAAGTAAATAAACAGAATTAATGATGGGCTAAAAATCTGCAGAAATCTGCGGAAGATCTGTGGAAATTCTGTGTAATTCTTTGTGCACAGATTCCGTGTGGGTCTACATATAAGCACAGTGCAGTGTTACCGTTCAGACTATTTATAATGTTTAAAATGGCTGATAATATTAAAAATTCTTTATAATATTAATTAATCTGCCATGTTTTAGAACTGTGCAGTGCTGTAGCTGCTTTACTGGGCTTACTACACTACTGTATTTCAATACTGCTCATTATGGAGCTACTTGATGAAAACAGTTTGAGAACCAGTGGTTCAGGGAATAAAAGTACTGTTTGGTCGGGAAAAAAATAGAAAGTCCCCACTAATGTTTGTGTTTGTGTGTGTGTGTGTGTGTGTGTGTGTGTGTGTGTGTGTCTCTAGGGCTGTGCGCACAACACCACGGGGCCTCACTGTGATCAGTGCCTGCCGGGTTTCTATGGTGACGCGAGCGAGGGGACGCCGGACGACTGCCAGAGATGCTCCTGCCCGCTGACACTGGCGTCAAACAAGTGAGTGACTGTGTGTTTGTGTTAGTGTGTGTGTGTGTGTGTGTGTGTGTGTGTGTGTGTGTGTGTGTGTGTGTGTGAGCAGACACATCCGGAAGCTGCTTTTGTGCGTCTGAATGTCTGAGCGTTTCTCACAGTAACACAAACTCAGTGTGTCTTCATTTAAAAGCACAGAGCGTGCGCTTTCACTGCACCATGATAACACACTTACTAAATTACCTGCAACTACTGTAGACTATATCACACATCTAAATATGCTTATTTTGACATGCACAAACTTTATTTTATTTTCATTTATTCATTCATTCACTTTCTTGTCGGCTTAGTCCCTTTATTAATCCGGGGTCGCCACAGCAGAATGAACTGCCAACTTATCCAGCACATTTTTATGCAGCCGATGCGCTTCCAGCTGCAACCCATCTTTGGGAAAACATCCACACACACATTCACACACACACTCATACACTACGGACAATTTAGCCTACCCAATTCCCCTATAGCGCATGTGTTTGGACTGTGGGGGAAACCGGAGCACCTGGAGGAAACCCACGCGAACGCAGGGAGAACATGCAAACTCCACACAGAAACAGCAACTGACCCGAGGATCGAACCCAGTGATCTTCTTGCTGTGAGGCGACAGCACTACCTACTGCGTTATTAAATATTATTATTGAATTTAGTTATTTAACTAGATGTAGATGTTAAATCTTATTGAGTTTTTCAAATGTTTTTATTTATCGTATATATTTAAATCTATATTATTTATGCACAACAAAAAAAGCACTATTTTAGTGCGGGGCAAAGATTAATTGTTTTTTTTACATGCTATATACGTATGTGTGTGCACTGTGTATATTTATTTTGTATATATAAATACACACATGCTCGCATATATTTGAGAAAAGGCTTATTTATATTTAGAAATGATATATTTATATGCATTTTCCCAGGGTTGGGTTGCGGCTGGAAGGGCATCCGCTGTGTAAAACATGTGCTGGATAAGTTGGTGGTTCATTCCGCTGTGGTAGCCCCAGATTAATAAAGGGACTAAGACAAAAAGAAAATGAGTGAATATATATGTATCCGGTGGTGCAGTGGGTAGCACGATCGCCTTACAGCAAGAAGGTTACTGGTTCGAGCCCCAGCTGGGCATTTATGAAATATAATGGGGAACATATATAATATAATTGTGGAGTTTGCATGTTCTCCCTGTATTGGCGTGGGTTTTCTCCGGGTGCTATGGTTTCCCCCAGAGTCCAAACACATGCGCTATAGGGGAACTGATCAACTACATTGGCTGTAGTGTATGAGTGTGTGTGTGAATAAGTGTGGGTGTTTCCCGGTGAAACATGTGCTGGATAAGTTGTGGGTTCATTCCACTGTGGCGACCCCTGATTAATAATGGGACTAAGCTGAAGGAAAATGAATGAAAGAATATATATGTATATTTATAATGCATATGTAACATTATATCTTAAAATACTATAAATTATCACTCATTCATTCTATTTTCGGCTTAGTCCCTTTGTTTTTTTGGGGTCGCCACAGCGGAATGAACCGCCAACTATTCCAGCATATGTTTTGCAAAACCCATTTATTGTGTGTTTGTGCAGTTTCAGCCCCACGTGTCAGCTGCAGGCTCCCGGTGAATTCATCTGTGATCAGTGCCAGCCTGGATACACCGGAGACAAGTGCCAGAGGTACCAGGACTATTTTAATCATGTTGTAACACTTTATTGTAGGTAAAGTTGAATGTGTGTGTATTCTGTGCTGACATCTGTTGTGTGTGTTGTTTAGGTGTGCTGATGGGTATTTTGGTGAGCCGGCGGTCCCTGGTCAGCGCTGCTCCCCCTGTGAGTGTAACGGGAATGTGGACCCATCTGAAGCGGGACGCTGCGACACCCACACTGGGGAGTGTCTGAAGTGTGTAGGGCATACGGCCGGGCCACACTGCGAACGCTGCCGGGACGGATATTATGGAGACGCCATCCAAGAGAAGAACTGCCAGGGTGAGGATTAAACAAACTCTATATCTCACAAGAAATGAGTGTTTCTTAAAGGGACAGATCACACACAGATATGAGGAAAACAGCACTGTGTGCTTCTTAAAGGGACAGTTCACTCACAAATATGAGGAAAATAGAAGAATGTTTCTTAAAGGGACAGATCATTTAAAATAAGGGAAATAACACTGAGTGTTTCTTAAAGGGACAGTTCAATCGCAAATATAAAGAAAAGCACCACCGAGTGTTTCTTAAAGGGACAGCTCACCTAAAAATATTAGAAAAAAAGCACTGAGTGTTTCTTAAAGGGACAGATCACCTAAAAATATGAAGAAATTAACACTGAGTGTTTCTTAAAGGGACAGCTCACCTAAAAATATTAGGAAAAAAGCACTGAGTGTTTCTTAAAGGGACAGATCACCTAAAAATATGAAGAAATTAACACTGAGTGTTTCTTAAAGGGACAGCTCACCTAAAAATATTAGGAAAAAAGCACTGTGTGCTTCTTAAAGGGACAGTTCACTCACAAATATGAGGGAAATAGAAGAGTGTTTCTTAAAGGGACAGATCATTTAAAATAAGGGAAATAACACTGAGTGTTTCTTAAAGGGACAGTTCAATCGCAAATATAAAGAAAAACACCACCGAGTGTTTCTTAAAGGGACAGCTCACCTAAAAATATTAGGAAAAAAGCACTGAGTGTTTCTTAAAGGGACAGATCACCTAAAAATATGAAGAAATTAGCACTGAGTGTTTCTTAAAGGGACAGATCACCTAAAAATATTAGGAAAAAAGCACTGAGTGTTTCTTAAAGGGACAGATCACCTAAAAATATGAAGAAATTAACACTGAGTGTTTCTTAAAGGGACAGCTCACCTAAAAATATTAGGAAAAAAGCACTGTGTGCTTCTTAAAGGGACAGTTCACTCACAAATATGAGGGAAATAGAAGAGTGTTTCTTAAAGGGACAGATCATTTAAAATAAGGGAAATAACACTGAGTGTTTCTTAAAGGGACAGTTCAATCGCAAATATAAAGAAAAACACCACCGAGTGTTTCTTAAAGGGACAGCTCACCTAAAAATATTAGGAAAAAAGCACTGAGTGTTTCTTAAAGGGACAGCTCACCTAAAAATATTAGGAAAAAAGCACTGAGTGTTTCTTAAAGGGACAGATCACCTAAAAATATGAAGAAATTAACACTGAGTGTTTCTTAAAGGGACAGCTCACCTAAAAATATGAAGAAATTAGCACTGAGTGTTTCTTAAAGGGACAGATCACCTAAAAATATGAAGAAATTAACACTGAGTGTTTCTTAAAGGGACAGCTCACCTAAAAATATGAAGAAATTAACACTGAGTGTTTCTTAAAGGGACAGATCACCTAAAAATATGAAGAAATTAACACTGAGTGTTTCTTAAAGGGACAGATCACCTAAAAATATGAAGAAATTAGCACTGAGTGTTTCTTAATGGGACAGATCACCTAAAAATATGAAGAAATTAACACTGAGTGTTTCTTAAAGGGACAGATCACCTAAAAATATGAAGAAATTAGCACTGAGTGTTTCTTAATGGGACAGATCACCTAAAAATATGAAGAAATTAACACTGAGTGTTTCTTAAAGGGACAGATCACCTAAAAATATGAAGAAATTAACACTGAGTGTTTCTTAAAGGGACAGATCACCTAAAAATATGAAGAAATTAACACTGAGTGTTTCTTAAAGGGACAGCTCACCTAAAAATATGAAGAAATTAGCACTGAGTGTTTCTTAAAGGGACAGATCACCAAAAATGATGTGGTAAAAAGCACTTAATAACTTAAAGGGACAGTTCACCTGAAAATTATGATGAAAAACACAACAGGGTGTTTCTTAATGGGATGTTTCACCCACAATTATGAAAAAAGCACTTATAAGGTGATGGCATTATTTATATTTTGCTGTGATTTTGTTGATGTGACGTGCAGCTCTAGTGACCTCTAGTGGATTCATGTGGCGCTGCTCATCTAAATGATCACCTGTGCTGTTTTACTGTGTATGTTATCATTTGTGTGTGTGTGTGTGTGTGTGTTTCTATCTGTAGCCTGTGGTTGTTATAGTAACGGCTCTCTGTCCACCATCTGTAACCTGATCACGGGTCAGTGTGAATGTAAACACAATGTGGTCGGAAAAACCTGCGACCGCTGCCAGGTATGACAACTCGTGTGCTGCACATAAAACATTACAGTGTGTCATAATTCTCCTATTGTAGTTCTGCTTTAGAAAGAGCCTTACAGTTGCGTGTGTGTGTGTGTGTGTGTGTGTTTCAGGAGGGTTATCACGGTATTAACAGTGGTGAAGGCTGCAGACCGTGTGAATGTAACCAATCAGGCGCTCTGTCTGCGTCATGTGATGAGGAGGGGCGGTGCCAGTGCATAACTGGGGTAACGGGTGACAAATGTGATCGATGTCACCATGGATACTACAACTTCAAAGAGAACGGATGCACAGGTAACACATGCGCTATAGGGGAACTGATCAACTAAATTGGCCTTAGGATAGTCTAAATAAGAATGACTCTGTACTGTCCAATGAGTGCTCAAAGCTGATTTATTGATCCTCCAGCATGCGACTGCGCACACACTCATGGGAACTGCAACGATCAGACGGGCGAGTGTATCTGTCCTCCACACACACACGGGCTGAAGTGTGAACAGTGTGATGAAGGTCACTGGGGTCACGACGGAGTGTCCGGCTGTAAGGTACGACTCTACAAAGCCATGTGTGTGTTTGATCATGTGTGTGTGTGATCATATATGTGTGTGTGCCATCATGTGTGTGTGCGTGTGTGGGTGTGTTTGTGTGTGTGTGTGTGATAATGTGTGTTTGATCGTGTGTGTGTGTTTGTGTGTGTGTGATCATGTGTGTGTTTGATCGTGTGTGTGTTATCATACATATGTGACTGCGTGTGTGTTTGTGTGTGTGTGTGTGTGTGATCATGTGTATGTTTGATCCTGTGTGTGTGTGATCATATATGTGTGATTTTGTATGTGTGCAATCATGTGTGTGTGTGTGTTTGATCATGTGTGTGTGTGTGTGTGTGTTTGTTGATGTCAGTTATCCTGCATATATGCATGTGATCGTGTGTGTTTGATCATGTCTGTGTGTGTGATGTTCTGTGTGTTTGATCGTGTGTGTGTGATCATGTATGTGTGATTAGGGGTGTGTGTGATTGTGTGTGTGATCGTGTTCGTGTGTTATCATGCATGAATGTGTGTGTGTGTGTTATCATGCATGTGTGTGTGTGTGTGTATATGTGTGTGTGTGTTTAATCATGTATTTGATCATGTGTGTGTGTGTGTGTGTGTGTGTGTATGTGTGTGTGTGTGTGTGTTTAATCATGTATTTGATCATGTTCATGTGTGTGTGTGTGTGTGTGTGTGTGTGTGTATGTGTGTGTGTGTGTGTTTAATCATGTATTTGATCATGTTCATGTGTGTGTGTGTGTGTGTGTGTGTGTGTGTTTGATCATGTGTTTGATCATGTTCGTGTGTGTGTGTGATCATATATGTATTTGTGTGTGTGTGTTTGATCATGTGTGTGTGTGTCCACAGGTGTGTAACTGCAGTGCTGTGGGCTCCAGCTCGTCTCAGTGTGATCTGTCCTCGGGTCAGTGTGTGTGTGCGCTGCAGTTCTCCGGCCTCACATGCGACCGGTGCGCTTTAGGCTACAGAAACTTCCCACAATGCTCTGCCTGCGACTGCAACCCGAACGGCACGCGTGCGCAGTTCTGTGACGAGGCACTAGGAGTGTGTGGCTGCGAGGATCACGGGCAGTGTTCCTGCAAGGTCAGTACACTCACTACTCCTCTATATTCCTCTATATTCTACAGGGTTCTGCTGGTCTTAAAGGGACGGTCCACAGCTCCTTTAACAATATTAAACAGGGGGTGAATAATTTTGCCCTCAACCGTATATCGCTGAAAAACAAAATATAGTAATGTCTGTTTTTTCCAACTCTAAGATGCAGTGTGTAATTGATGATTAATGCTGATGTTGTGCTCAGGATAATGTGGGCGGCAGAGGCTGTGACGAGTGTAAGAGCGGCTCCTTCGGGCTCTCGGCCCTCAATCCGGCCGGCTGCAGCCCCTGCTTCTGCTTTGGCCTTTCAGACGTGTGTGAGGAGCTGAGCGGATTGGTGCGCGCGCCGGTGAGAACAAACACACACACATTTATGCAGATTCATTCATTTTCTTTTCGGCTTAGTCCCTTTTTTAATCTGGTGTCGCCACAGTGGAATGAACCGCCAACTTATCCAGCACGTGTTTTACATGCACACACACACTCATACACTACGGACAATTTAGCCTACCCAATTCACCTGTACCACATGTCTTTTGGACTGTGGGGGAAACCCGGAGGAAACAAAAGCTGATCTAGGATCTGTTTATCATACGGAGCGCGTCCGTATACATGCATTCTCTGATTCAGAGGTTGCATATGAAGGGTGATGATCGACGCACAGCTTTAATGGAGAGAAAGTGAATGCAGACATTTTGATATTCATTTCAGCGTGCTTTCAAGATTAAAAATACACAAGAAATATGGGAAAATACTTAGCGATAGGATGATAGAGGGATAGACTGGTAAAATATGGGAGAATCCCAGCAGAAACGGGAGGGTTAACATGTATGAAGTGAACAGGAAGTGTTTATTGAAAAAAAGTTTTGTAAGGGATTGCAAAACATCTTTGCGAGGGAACGCAAAAACTTAAAAAAATATATTATAAATTTTTTTTTTTCTTCCACTCATTTTTCCGCCACTATCACGTCACTTCCGGGTCTCTGTAGATCTTAATCGGTCGCTACTCAGAATTTTGGTATCGGGATCGGATCGGTTCCAAAAAAGGGGTGCATCCCTAAAATAAATGTCAATAGATAAATATAAATAAATGCATATCTCTAAAGAGTAAAATGAAAAATAAATGCAGACAAAAATAATTTTTTTCACTATACGCATGTGCATCTATATTTATAAATGCATTTCTCAAAATAGTAACATTTTAAATTAAATGCAAACAATAAGCATTTATAATGTGCGTAAAAAAACAATTTTATAAATATAAATAAATAAATTTCTCAAAATATTAACATGAAAAATAAATGCAAACAATAAGCATTTATAATGTGCGTAAAAAAACAATTTTATAAATATAAATAAATAAATTTCTCAAAATATTAACATGAAAAATAAATGCAAACAATAAGCATTTATAATGTGCGTAAAAAAACAATTTTATAAATATAAATAAATAAATTTCTCAAAATATTAACATGAAAAATAAATGCAAACAATAAGCATTTATAATGTGCGTAAAAAAACAATTTTATAAATATAAATAAATACATTTCTCAAAATATTAACATGAAAAATAAATGCAAACAATAAGCATTTATAATGTGCGTAAAAAAACAATTTTATAAATATAAATAAATACATTTCTCAACATGAAAAATAAATGCAAACAATATGCATTTATTTACTATGTGCATGAACAACTACATATGTAAATACATATGTCAAAATAGTAACATCCTAAATTAAATGCAAACAATTCACATTTATTTATAGCATGCATAAAAACAGTTATATAAATACACATCTCAAAATAGTAACATTTTAAATGCAAACCATATACATTTATTAATAATATGCAAAAAAAGTTTATTCTTAAATGCACATCTCAAAAGAGTAAAATGAAAAATAGATGCAAACAATATGCATATACATGCATGCATATTGTAATAATTATAAAAACTACTATAAAAATGATGTTGCTGAATGAATCGTGTGTGTATTTGACTAGTAATAATCATCTATTAATCGTGTGTGTGTGTTCAGATTGTTCTGGGTTCATCTCCGGCTCTGCTGCGTGTAGTGTCTCAGAGTGACCTGCAGGGGACGCTGGAGGGCGTTTATTACAGCGATGACGAGATGCTGCTGGACGTGGATCAGCTCAACAAACTCTCTCTCCTCACCGGACCGTATTACTGGAGACTCCCACAGAAATACAACGGCAACAAGGTACAAATACACAACACACCCACAGAAACACCAGGGTACAACACCATAGATATACCATGGTAGTACAGTTTGCAGAAACAGAGACAGAGAGGGCCAATAGTATCTGGGTGCAGACTTGGGTTTGTGAGCTGAGACTGTGTATCTCAGATTTGCTATTAGAGCTTAGAGATCCCAAAAATTAAACCTAACCCTATCCGAGCCCGTGCACCCCATGCCCAAGCCCGACCCAGTCTCAGACATTAACTGTAATTAAGAATTAAAAATTAAAACAGATGTTCTCAGCTACAATTCTGAGTCATTTGAACTGCAAACATGAATTTAAGGGTGACAAATAAGGACATTGAAGGCTGACTATCATCCTGTCTGCATACCTGTCAACCCTCCCATGTTTGCAGGGATTCTATCCTGTTATCATCCTGTTTTCAAGAGTTCACACTTAGCTAATCAATAATCAGATAATTGATAATCAGCTAGATAATCAATAGAGCGTAATTGGCATGCTGTCCCGGTAGAGAGCCCTGAGCTCGTAATATCCTCGATGTCAGACACAATGCACTCAGTGGAGCTGCTGATGTCACTGTGAGGGGCGGGGTTAAAGGTGGGGTTAGGTGTGCGCATTAAAAAGCATTGCATGCAGCTCAGATTGCAACCAAGTCTGCATTCAGACCCCTCTCCATCACTTACTTCATCTGTTTCTGTATTAAATGATAAAAGTAAAAGGAAATTCACCCAAATAATGCATAACGTTTGTGTTTATTTTAAATTTGAGTACTTTACATATTTATAGGGTCGTTTTTGCATGTATGCATATGTAAATAAGCGCATTTGCATTTGTTTATGTTCATTTTGAGATATAGTAATGTACCTCAGACTGAAAGTGAATATTGAGTAGGGGGCGGGGCGTTCTTTTGTGCTTCATTCTCTCATACCAATCTGTCATCGAGAGACTATTAATATGCAGTTGCTATGGAAACCCTCAGGTCGGCCTCAACAGAAGCTCCGCCTCTCCAAGCAAGTAATCAAATGTACAGAATTTAAATTTAATTGAAGATTACAAAACAATCAACTGACTTTCTGTGGATTAATTATTCACGTTAGGAATACCGATGTGAGCTAGCTAAATGCACATGCTAAATTTAGATTTCCAGCAAGGGGAAAGTGTTAGCTGTGAGTGTAAAATCTGCCTGGTGTTTGTTTCAGCTGCTGTCGTATGGAGGAAGACTCTCCTACACCCTCACCTTCTTCGCTCAGGACGGCGTGGGATTGGCCAATCAGGAGCCTCAGGTGCTGTTGAGAGGAGGACACCTGCGTAAGCTGGTCATCTACACTGATGCTAGCGCTCCTGCTAACGGCATCCGCAGCACACAGGAGCACGCCCTCACCGAGGTCAGTCACGGGTCCAAACAGCTCCTAAAATGTCTGCTGTACTGTTCAGATTGACTCCCCTGTGGTGATGTGGGTGCTGTTTTTGCCCCACTGACCTCCATTATAATCACATTTACTGATGACAGCAAATAATCATGCATCAGTATAACTTTATTCATTCATTTTCCTTCAAATTAGTCGCTTATTTATCAGGGATCGCCACAGCGGAATGAACCGCCAACTATTACAGCATATGTTTTACACAGCGGATGCCTTCCAGCTGCAACCCAGTACTGGAAAACACCCACACACACACACACTCATACACTACAGCCAATGTAGTTGATCAGTTCCCCTATAGCGCATGTGTTTGGACTGTGGGGGAAACCGGAGCACGCGGAGGAAACCCACGCCGACACTGGAAGTCTGTTGTCTGTGTTATAAACCCAGTGCTGTCTCTTCCTGATGGTCATGTCTGATCTGATCTGTGTGCAGCACAAGTGGAAATACTTCAACTCAGTGTCTGATGAAGCCGTGAGCCACGCTGACTTCATGTCTGTGCTGAGTAACCTGGAGTACGTCATCATTAAAGCCTCGTACGGGTCCGGACTGCAGCAGAGCAGGTCAGTTTTATGCCTATATACTACACTTAAATCTTTCTCTGAGATCTACACTGAAGATATGTGGCTTGGGTAAGGGAAGAAATTCTCCTGAAATGATTTAATATGTTCATTTACAACCCTAGGAAGACATGCTTTGATTGACCTTATTTGGGTGGGTGATGAATATTAATGAGCTCTGCTGTGATGCTCACACAGTGGGACGTAATCTGAAATAAACACATGCAAAAAATTAATACTTCATTCATTCATTTTCATTTCGGCTTAATCTCTTTATTAATCTGGGGTCGCCACAGCGGAATGAACCGCCAACTTATCCAGCATATGTTTTACGCAGCGGATGCAACAGATGTAGTCATTCAAATAGTAATTTAAAATGATTATGAGTGCGCCATATGACCAAAATATGACCTTAAGACCATTTTTGAGTACATCTACACTCACCGGCCACTTTATTAGGTACACCTTACTAGTACATGGGTTGGACCTCTTTTAGCCTTTAGTTCTGCTTTAATCCTTCATGGCAGAGATTCAACAAGCTACTGGAAATACTCCTCAGAGATTTTGCTCCATATTGTCATGATAGCATCACACAGTTGCTGCAGATTTGTTGGTTGCACATCCATGATGCCAATCTCCCGTTCCACCACATCCCAAAGCTGCTCTATTGGATTGAGCTCTGGTGACTGTGGAGGCCATTTGAGTACAGCGAACTCAGTGAAACAAACTGTAAGCCACTCTAGGAATTAAAGTAGATTTATTTTTATTAAAGCTACAAAACTTCTTCAGTTGTGATTCTGTGCAGGTCTTTTATTGTTTGTTTAATAATTATAAGTACAGGAATATTGACGCTGTCCCTTTAAGAGCCGCACAGATCCAATATACGGTGACACATGCATTCTCATCTCTTTATGTACATTTACTGCATAACACATGAAGGTTTTTGCAGGGTTCAACGCTAAGGATTTTTTTATACTGGCCCAATCGGGCCAGTGGTTCAGATTTTTACTTGCCCAGCCAAAATATTCTCTGGCCCCACCCAAAAAAGAAGTTAGCCCTTTAGTTATTCAGCATAACTTTTCTTTAAATGCAACAGACAATTTAAAAATGATTTAATTTAAATACAATACTGATTAGATTAAATAAAGTGAATGGTTTAGTAGAAAACTACAACAATTTTATGACTTGTTTGTTTAAAACCCACCAAAATGCCTAATTTTAGAAACCGGCTCATTACATCAGTCTATAATACTGTCAATATATATATTTTTCATTTATTTGTAAACCTAGATTTAAAATGCATTTCACTATTTGTATTTGCTTGATCCATCAACATAATCATATAAGCCTAAGTTTTAATCAATTATGACCTTTGAGTTTTTTTTAAATGTAGACTAAGAATGCTAAAGAAAGTCTATGAATGGGGTCTGTGCAGGGGTGCATTTCTCGTCACAACAACGGGACTGCAGTCAGATTATGAAGGGATGTTGATATTTCTTTCGAGGTGTCGAAATAAACAAAACAGTTTATAATATAAGATAATAAAGATTATAATATGGAAAAATTACCAGATGGTAATGTTGATAAAATTAAATTTTTTTCGGTCAATGGATAAACAGCACTCGGTAATATTTCAGCATGCTTTCACTTTCATATTAGACATGAAACGCACATTTTCTGGTAGAAATAACATTCTGCCCTACTCATCATTCTCTTCATATAGTCGAATATATGGCGAACACACAACCATAATACACTGTGATTTAGCCTGGATTGTTTTGTTTCACTACAATCGATCCGCTCAATCGAGCCAAGACCACCTTATTCTGGTGATCTCAGACCGATTGATTTGACGCGGACTCGAGCAGAATTCAGAATTCACATATGCCACGAATGGCGCTTACTGGGCAAACGAGACCGGTTCCGAAACAAACGTCTAGGCATGAAAGCATGCAATTGACAAACAGTTGCAGCCAAATTAAACTTTTGTGACAAGGCAGCACTGTCCCCTATTGGCCCAGTAACCATTCTGTATACTGTCCCGAGCATCTTGCAAGCTGACCCTGGGCCAGCGGGCAGTCCTTATTGTTGAGCCCTGTTTTGTGATTAGTAACTAAGTTTAATAAATTAGTACCTTTCTATGCAAATTAAGTCATGTTTTTGTGGTTATGTTTGAGTTGTTTCACATGATTCTTTTTTTGCCCTGATTGAATCTTTCATAATATTATTATTATTATTATTATTTATTTATTTATTTTGGTATTTGATGATTTTAATATATTAGCAATACTGTACTGAATGTCATGCCAATAAAACAACTTGAACTTGAATCATGTTAAGAGAAAATGGTGAACATCAATACTCCCTGATTGTCATGGTGCATTGTGGCACATTTCAGGAAGCAATAGCTAATCTAAAAATGTAAAATTCTATATATCGATGTTTAGAGATGCTCTAAAATTGTCAAACTCTGACTAGTACACTAGGGAGCAGATTGAGTGCAGTCGGATTAAAAGGATGATGTGTGTGTGTGCAGGATCTCCAACATCTCCATGGAAACGGCACTGGAGGCAGATGAGCTTCCTGAAGGTGGAGATGTGGCGCGGTTGGTGGAGATCTGTGAGTGTCCGCCGGGATACGCTGGACTGTCCTGCCAGGTCAGAAAAATAACACACATCATCCAAATCAGTCATACATGCATTATCTTCTCGGCTTAGTCCCTTTATAATCAGGGGTCGCCACAGTGGAATGAACCGTCAACTTATCCAGCATATGTTTTACGCAGCGGATGCCCTTCCAGCTGCAACCCATCACTGGGAAACACCCATACACACTCATTCATTCACACACACAATCATACAATACGCACAATGTAGTTGATCAGTTCCCCTATAGCGCATGTGTTTGGACTGTGGGGGAAACCGGAGCACCCGGAGGAAACACACACCAACACGGGGAGAACATGCAAACTCCACACAGAAACACCAACTGACCCAGCCGAGACTCAAACTAGTGACCTTCTTGCTGTGAGGCGATTGTGCTAACCACTGCGCCACCGTGATGCCTGCATCATCAAAATAGTCAGCATTATCGGTCATCATGGCGTACATGCAGACTCATCACCTGCTCAAACTGCACCTGAGACTGGTGTACATATGAAATATACCCAGCACACACCAGATATCAACATGATGTCAGACTGATGTTGTACTCCGACATTGTGGGATGTTGCATTGTGTTTGCTTTATTATATATATATATATATATATATATATATATATATATATATATATATATATATATATATATATATTATTACACTTATTTATGTGATGTTTTTACCCATCATGCTTTGTGTTGCAGGAGTGTGCTCCAGGATATTACCGGCAGGCTGTATCTGAGCTCAACATGAAGGGCAGAAATCGGCCGCTCATTCAGCCCTGTGTGCCCTGCAGATGCAGCAACCACAGCCAGTCATGTGACCTGCACACCGGCCAATGCCTGGTGAGAACACACACACACAGACACACACACTTTGAAGTGCACCTATTATGCAAAACCCACTTTTATATGTGGTTTAACCCCAGCTGTGTGTCAGCAGTGTGTGAGTATCTCCAGCAGCCTCTGATGCTCAACATGTATTAATTGTGTTTGTTCTAATCAGACTTGATGAGTGAAGCACTTTGATTGACATTCTCCCTTTGTACGTGTCATCAGAGGGGGAAAGCCCCGCCCACTAGTGCCCCTCTCTCCATGTCATTAGCATAAACAGCAGCCCTGAGTGAGAAGCAGCCGTCTGTCCATTAGCCATTAGAGTGTTTGAGCTGCTGAAGATGATGTCAGCATAGACTAAGAGCATTATAGATGTGGAGTTCTAGATGAACAGAGACAGGAGCGACAGAGACTGACAGAAGCATGAAGAACACACTGAAGCACACCTGACCAGCACTCACAACACACACACTGCTGATTTACATGTCACTATGCTTATGCATATGCATCTGTAGCTCCGCCCTCTTCTGAAAAGAGCGCAATCTCATTTGCATTTAAAGCGACAGTAACAAAAACACCACAATTAGGATCAAAGCCTGAAAGGGTCAGTTTCAGAGAGCTGGAGAACATTACCTGTGCTGTTCTCAGCTCAATCTCACACACTAGAGACAGCAGAGACTTATTTAAAGTCTTGTAAAAAGGGGCAGAATAGGTCACCTTTAAATAGGTAACTATCTGAAGACATTACACAAGCAAAACAAGGACAATTTCAAGAAGTTTCAAGCATTTTTCTAAGTGTTTTCATTATTTAAATGACAGAGATCAGCGATTCTTCAGCTCAAACCATTAATATGTGCACATTTGTGTATAAACTAAATAATTAAAGCAAAACAATAATAGAAATGCTACAAAATGTGCACAAATTCAGTCATTTTAGTTGCAGAAATTACATTTTGTGTGTGTGTGTGTGTGTGTGTGTGCGTGTGCGTGTGTGTGTGTGTTCAGGGCTGTCAGCACAACACCGCTGGAGAACACTGCCATGTTTGCGCTGCAGGGTATTATGGGAAGGTGCAGGGGTCGGTCAGTGACTGCTCTCTGTGTACCTGCCCACTGCGGGGTCAAAGGTGAGCTCACATCACACACATTTATCTGAAATCGCCCCCTATACCCTTAATAGTGCACTACTCTAATGATGTCCGAAACCATAGTGAGCATTCTGAAGTGCACTTAGTCAATCCCAAAATGCATTGCAATAACAAGTCCACAACCCATGCACACTCAACACTTCAAAATACCCATAATGCACTGTGGGAGTTTGTGCATCAAATGAATTTCCACATCTGACCACTAGATGGCGTCTAAAGCACAATCCTATCGGTTTAAAAGTAAAGTATGCAATAGGTAAATGTGCTCTGTGTGTGTATGTGTGTGTGTGTGTGTGTGTTTAGTTTCAGCTCAACATGTGTGTTAGAAGGTGCTGGAGACTTCCGCTGCGACCGCTGTGAGGAGGGATATGAGGGACGATACTGTGAGAGGTCTGACACACACACACATACACACAAGTATATACACACAGAAGCATATACACATAGACAAGCAAGCATATATACACACACGCACACACACAGACACTTAAACACACATACTCACACTTGCGCACACAGAGACACAGAATCTCCCAGAAACACACACACACAAACTCTCAGAAACGCGCGCACACACACATGCATATATATGCACACACACAGACACTCAAACATACTCGCATATATGCACACACAGAAACACACACGTGCACAAGTATATGCACACAAACTCAGAAACACATATACACTCACACACGCACACACACACATGCATATACACAGACATGAACCCTCAAACACACTCACATATATTCACACACACTCTAAGAAACACACACACTCACAGAAACACATACACACGCACTCAGAAAAACAAACACTCACAAAACACTCTTACACACATTAAAACTCACACATACGCATACACACACACACACACACACACAAAGTCTAACACACACGCTCTGTCTGCTGTCTCAGGTGTGCAGTGGGGTATTTCGGGAACCCGTCGGAGCCGGGTGGCCGCTGTCAGGTGTGTGCGTGCAGTGAGTCGGGCTCAGTGCACAGTGTGTGTGACGCACACACAGGCCGCTGTGAGTGTAAACCTGGGGTCAGAGGTCACCTGTGTGACCAGTGTGAGGAGAGGCATGTGCTGGTCCACGAGCAGTGTGTGTGTAAGTCACATCACCTTTATTTACACACATCAACACACACTCAAGCAGCATTAGCCTCTTGCACACCGCATGAACGGGAAATGATGGGAAATTTGTAACCAGAAATTTTTTTATTGACCAGTATATTGGAAAATGCAGCAGAATAATTTTGGCAGTTTGCGGGAAATGTTACAACTTAACACTTAACTTAAAGTTTTTATGTATAAATTGTCGTTATCACAAAATTCTAAAATGAAATTTCAGCAATTAAGTGGCCGATTATTAGGTTTAGTTTACAGCTTCATATAGCACACACTCCAGCAGTATTAGCGTCTTGCCCACAGTAGTTTGCATTAAAAATAACACAAGTAATTTAATAATGACCAGTATATTCAAAATATGACTAGTAAATTCTAAAAATGACCAGTAAATTCAAAATGTGTCTAATACATTCGAAAATGACCAGTAAATTTGAGTAAATTAACAAATAACTAGTAAATTAAAAAATGATCTGTAAATGTACAAAATAACCAGTAAATTAAAAAATGAACAGTAAATTAAAAAATTACCAGTAAATTTAAAAATGACCAGTAAATTAAAAAATGACCAGTAAATTCAAAAATGACCAGTAAATTTAAAAATGACCAGTAAATTAAAAAATGACCAGTAAATTAAAAAATGACCAGTAAATTCAAAAATGACCAGTAAATTCAAAAATGACCAGTAAATTCAAAAATGACCAGTAAATTTAAAAATGACCAGTAAATTCAAAAATGACCAGTAAATTCAAAATGAACAGTAAATTCAAAAATTACCAGTAAATTTAAAAATTACCAGTAAATTCAAAAATTACCAGTAAATTCAAAAATGACCAGTAAATTCACAAATTACCAGTAAATTCAAAAATGACCAGTAAATTCAAAAATGACCAGTAAATTCAAAAATGACCAGTAAATTTAAAAATGACCAGTAAATTCAAAAATTACCAGTAAATTCAAAAATTACCAGTAAATTCAAAAATGACCAATAAATTCAAAAATTACCAGTAAATTCTAAAATTACCAGTAAATTCAAAAATGACCAGTACATTCAAAAATGACCAGTAAATTAAAAAATTACAAGTAAATTAAAAAATTACCTGTAAATTCAAAATGACCAGTAAATTCAAAAATTGCCAGTAAATTAAAACATTACCAGTAAATTCAAAAATGACCTGTAAATTCAAAAATTACCAGTAAATTTTAAAATTACCAGTAAATTCAAAATTAACATTAAATAAAAAAATGACCTGTAAATTAAAAAATGACCAGTAAATTAAAAAATGACCAGTAAATTAAAAAATGACCAGTAAATTCAAAAATGACCAGTAAATTCAAAAATGACCAGTAAATTAAAAAATTACCAGTAAATTCAAAATGAACAGTAAATTCAAAAATTACCAGTAAATTCAAAAATGACCAGTAAATTCAAAAATTACCAGTAAATTTAAAAATTACCAGTAAATTCAAAATTAACAGTAAATTAAAAAATGACCAGTAAATTCAAAAATAACCAGTAAATTATAAAATGACCAATAAATTAAAAAATAACCAGTAAATGAAAAAATGACCAGTAAATTCAAAAATTACCAGTAAATTCAAAAATTACCAGTAAATTTAAAAATTACCAGTAAATTCAAAATTAACAGTAAATTCAAAAATTACCATTAAATTCAAAAATAACCAGTAAATTAAAAAATGACCAGTAAATAATAAAATAACCAGTAAATTTAAAAAAACAGCAGAATTCTAACAGTGTACTGGTAATTTTATTGCTTTTCATTCTGAAAAATTGCCGGACCTGAATTTTCAAAAATTTAGATTTTAAAAAATGAACATTTTTAAAATCGTAATTGTCCTAATCACGAAATTCTTAAATGAATGAAATTTCAGCAGTAAAGCAGCCAATTATTCATCTTAGTTCAGTTGTATTTCCACAGCTCTTTCATATAACACACACTCTAGCAGCATTAGCCTCTTGCCCACAGTAACAACAGGACAACAACTTTACATTTTTTCCAAAATTAAAATGTAAACTGAAAAATATAACGGTATGATTCAGTTCAGTTCACCTTTATTTGTAAAGCGCTTTTACAATGTAGATTGTGTCAAAGCTGCTTCACATAGTATGAGATAGTAAATAATACAGGCACTTTAAAAAAAAAACTCTAAATATACATTTTATTAAGGAATACGTTTATGGAGCTTTAATGAGCTCAAAACCTGCCAGAACTACTTTATCTGTGCATTTATCTGAAAATAACAGCACACCTCAGAATGCTCATCAGCCTATCAGAATCAAGTGTTCATACGTTGTGTTTGCAGCATGTAATGACTCCTGCACTGGTGTTTTGCTGGATGATCTGGATGCTTTAGACGTGTCCATCACATCTGTGAACCTGACGGGTGTCATTCTGGCCCCGTACAGCCAGCTGATGACCATCCAGAACCAGACCCGAGAGCTCACGGTCAGTGGAGAACAGCACACTGCAATACAATGCTTTTCTTACTCAGAGTCTTTGTCTTGTCTCTAATCCAAATATCTGGAAATGTATAGTTTTCTAGAAAAATATTGTCAAAATGAAGTGAGTTTTTCTGAAATAGACAAAAAATTTGTAGTTGTGTATAGTGTATAACTGTATAACAGTGTGGTGAATACCGATGTGTAATGTAATCTGCAGAGCCTGATGTCGTGGAACCAAACTCCAGATTATCAGCTGACCGCTGGAGAAGAACACTCGAGGAACCTGAGCGGTCAGATCACTGACCTTCAGCAGCAGGTACTGACCTCACTGTGTCCATCACTCAGATCACCCTAGCAACAGCCTATCAACACTTAGCAACCACCTAGTTATCACTCAGAACACTGCCTAGCAACCACTCAAAACTCTTAGAAACCACCTAGTTATGTCATAGCAACCACATAGCAACAACTCAGAACATCCACCTAGCAATGTCTTAGCAACTACCTTGGTAACCATCTAGTAACCACTCAGAACACCCTGACAACTGCCTAGCAACCCTTCAGAACACTTTAGAAACTGCCTAACTATGTCATTGCAACCAAATACCAAGAACTTAGAAAACTCTAGCAACCGCCATAAAACGCCATAGTAACCACATAACAACAACTCAAAACACCTCAGCAACCACCTAGCAATGCCTAAGCAACTACCTAGCAACCACCCAGAACCTCTTATCAACTGGCTAGCAACCAAACACCTTGAAACACCCTAGCAATGCCTCGGCAACCATCTAGTAACCACTCAGAACACCCCAACAACTGCCTAACAACCACTAAGAACACTTTAGCCACCACCTAAGTACTTCATAGCAACCACATACCAACAACTCAGAAAACCCTAGCAACCGGCATGCAACTGCCTAACAACCACGGCAAACACCAATCACATTTTCTTCAGGATATGTACTTATCTGAGTGTGTGTGTGTGTGTGTGTGTGTGTGTGTGTGTGTGTGTGTGTGTGTGTGTGTGTGTGTGTGTGTGTGTTTGTGTGCGCGCACGTGCAGGTCCAGAGTGTGTTTGAAGACAGTGGTGATGTGCTGCTGACCTCAGAGCAGAGATTTACTCAAGGGAAACAACTGCTGGAGCTCATCAACAACATTCACTCTGCCATCCACGGTAACTTTAATTAATTTATTTTTATTTATTATTATTATTATTATTATTTTTATTTTATTTTTTTATTAATTAAGGTAATTATTTATTTTATTTAATTATTTATTTATTTTTATTAATTCATTCATTCATTTAATTTATTTTATTTATCTTATTTTATTTTATTTGTTTTATTTTTAAAATTTTTATTAATTATGGTAAATATTTTATTTATTTCATTTCTTTATTTATTTACTTTTATTATTTATTTTATTTATTTATTTTATTTAATTATTTTATTTATTTTGTTTATTTTATTTTAACAATCTAAAATAATACTGCAACTTAAGACTCAACTTAAGTGTAATAGTAAAAACTAAAACGGGTAATATTATTTTTAATTATTAATTTGACACGTAAAACAAATATTAATCTTTTCCAAATTAAATTCACATTAATTTATATAGCACTTTTTACAATGTAGATTGTGACAAAGCAGCTTAACATAAATGAAGAACAATACATTAATACATAATATAAAAAATACAAATCATAATAGTAAACAAAAACTGCTCAAATAACATCAGATCTGTTCCATGAAGAATTCATTTATTATTAAAGATCATCATAAGAAGAGCTAAAGCATTACTCTTACAGACAGTAACCGAATAAATCAGTGCATATCAATGTGATAAATTGATTGGCTGCTGTGTAAGTCACTTCTGCGCTGTGATTGGCTCAGGTCTGGTGGAGCAGGTGAGTTCAGTGAACGTGACTCTGGATGAAGGTCTGGATGAAGCCAACAGCACATTCCTGCTGGAGGAGACCAGCGAAACCCTGGAGAAAATCAGGAGCTTTAATCTGACGCACTGCAGGAACGCTGCGGAGATCCAGCTCAGGTAAGATCAACACATCACACACAGCAGCAGAAATACATCATTCCTTCTCTATTTTAACTCTTTTTCAAATATTTCCCAAATGATGCAAGAAATTATTCACAATATTTCCTATTATTTTAATTTCTTCTGGAGAAAGTCTTATTTCTTTTAGTTTGGCTGGAATGAAAGCAGTTTTAAAAAGTTTTCAATAATCTAAGACCAGTATTAACAGACCCCTAAAGATTTATTTTATTGGTTACAGAACAAAAAACTCTTATCTTATAATTTGCATAATTAATAAGCCTTTAAATGTCACGAGTACGAGTATCTTCCTAAATAAATGTAATGTACCTGCATCATGACAAAGACAAAAGAAATCTTATTAAAGCTGTTATGTTTAGAAATGTGTTGAAGAAATCTCTGTTAAACAGCACTTGAGGAATATTAAATAATAATAATAATAATTAACATTGCACAGAAAGGCTAATAATGTTGTGTGTTGTGTGCAGCTCTGCAGTGTCTGTGCTGGAAAAGGTCGAGGATGAGATTTCAAAGCCTTACAGAAATAACCAGATCAGACGGGAAAACATCTCCACAACACTCAACACACACAACCTGAATCTCCAGCAGGTCCAGGAGAGCCTAAACACGGCTAAAACGCACAACAACCAGAGCCGACGCCTGCTCCAGGACATCCAGAGCAACACACACACACTCACCGTGAGTCACACACACTATACGCATGATACTGTATACACAACAGGTCTTAATGAGAGGCGACACGGTGGCTCAGTGGTTAGAACTGTCACCTCACAGCACTCAGGTCACTAGTTTGAGTCTCGGCTGGGTCAGTTGGTGTTTCTGTGTGGAGTTTGCATGTTCTCCCCATGTTGGTGTGGGTTTCCTCCGTGTGCTACGATTTCCCCCACAGTCCAAACACATGCGCTATAGGGGAACTGATGAACTGAATTGGCCGTAGCGTGAAACATATGCCGGATAAGTTGGCGGTTCATTCTGCTGTGGCGACCCCTAATGAATAAAGGGAGTAAGCCGAAGGAAAATTAACGAATGAATGTCTCAATGAGGCTACATTTAGTTTTTTAAAAATATGATAATTTATTTATTTGTTAGACACAAAGCTGAATTGTGTGCTTCTTTATATTTCTGAGTATAACATTATAAACATATTAGATGTCACTCGTATCAATTCAATGCATTTTTTATTACATTTTTAATTTCTTTAAAAAGACATTAAATAAATAAATAACATTTTGATTTAAATTTTTTTAGATTTCCAGGAACAATGTCAGCAGTCTGAACCATGAAGTAGAAACACAAGTACAGGAAGCTCAAGACCTGCTGACCGACGCCCTCAATATTGCAGAAGACATGGACAACGGGACGACAGTGAGTGCCGTTTCTATATTATTATTTAGACATGTAATGAAGAATACGTTTTTAATCCATATGATGCATCTGTGGTTGCAGACTCTGGATGAGCTGAAGAATGATCTGGAATTGTGGAGTCCGTCTCTCAGGAAGCATGTGGACTCTTTAGTCATGGATTTGACCAAAAGAGATGCTCTTCAGCTGGTTTACAGGGCTGAGGATCACGCACAAGCTCTCAGCAAACAAGCACAAGCCCTGAACAGGTGGGAATTGCTGTCAGGATTGACTATATATGCATGTAACGCAATGCAGAACTGCAGGGGCATTTCAAGGGTTTTCAATTAGTTTTCCTTAAACTGGAATTATAAACAGCAAATGTGTTTATTTACAGTCAACTGAAGGTATTAATGTACAGTAGTGCAACATTCTTAAAGGTGATAGGGATTTGATTCTGTTGCTGATTGTTGTTCAACTTATTGTTAAAGCTTTTTAACTGTAACAGTTGACGATAACAGATTTGACGATCGCAAAGTGGACAGTAACAGAGTTGACAGTAACAGAGTTGACAATAACAGAGTTGACAATAACAGAGTTGACGATAACAGAGTTGACAGTAACAGAGTTGACAGTAACAGAGTTGACAGTAACAGAGTTGAAAGTAACAGAGTTGACAATAACACTTGACAATAACAGAATTGACAGTAACAGAGTTGACAATAACTTAGTTGACGATTACAGATTTGACAGTAACATAGTTGACGATAACATAGCTGACGACTACAGAGTTGACAATAACAGTTGACAGTAACAGAGTTGACGATAACATAGTTGACAGTAACTTAGTTGAGGATAACAGAGTTGACAGTAACAGAGTTGAAAGTAACAGAATTGACAGTAACAGAGTTGACAATAACATCTTTGACGATAACAGAGTTGACAGTAACATAGTTAACGTTAACATAGTTGACGATAACATAGCTGACGACTACAGAGTTGACAATAACAGTTGACAGTAACAGAGTTGACGATAACATAGTTGACGGTTACAGAGTTGATGATAACATAGTTGACGGTTACAGAGTTGATGATAACAGAGTTGACAGTAACAGAGTTGGCTATAACATAGTTGACGATTACAGAGTTAACGATTACAGAGTTAACGATTACATAGTTGACAGTAACATAGTTGACGATAACAGAGTTGATGATAACAGAGTTGATGATAACAGAGTTAACGATTACAGAGTTGACAGTACCATAGTTGACAATAACAGAGTTGACGATAACAGAGTTGATTATAACAGAGTTGACGATAACAGAGTTGATTATAACAGAGTTGACGATAACAGAGTTGATTATAACAGAGTTGATGATAACAGAGTTGACAGTTCCATAGTTGACAGTAACATAGTTGACGATAACAGAGTTGACGATTACAGAGTTAATGATAACAGAGTTAACGATTACAGAGTTAATGATAACAGAGTTAACGATTACAGAGTTTGCAATAACAGATTTGACGATAACAGAGTTAAAAATAAAAGAGTTGATTATTAGAGTTCACATTAACAGTTTGACAATAACAGGGTTGATTTAGATTTGACAGTAATGGACTTGACAGCAATAACAGAGTTGACCATTAAGCGGGTCACAAACTGGATGCGCCACTTGGTGCCGCAACACAGCATGCATATGATAGTTGGAAGTATCGCACAGCAGATGCGCACATTTGAATGTTTTTTAATATGAAACTATTCAGATGGCGCTCTGTGAAATATTAACAGTGTCCTGAGTCGTGGCTGGGCGCTGCAGACAGCCGCAGACTTACGCAGCCGGTGCTAAACTAATAGAAATCCATGTTTAGAATTGGAATTGCATGGCGTTGCCTGGTGCAGTGCAGCGCGTCGCCGAGTGGCGCATTCAGTGTGCGACTACCTTTAGAGTTGACCATAACATAATTCCACAGATTTTTACCCCATTATTAATTCTATCTATTTACTTGAGTTAATGTGTAATTATGAATTTATTCAGTTTTTATTCAGTAATTTATTACTTTTTATTTAATATATTAAGGTTTTAGTTATGATACTCTGCTGGATACTCCCAAAATAATTCAGCAGAAAACCGCAGATTTTAGAAAAATAGCAGAAATAGCAAAAAATGTCTGCAGATTCCGTCTGGCCCTGCCCATCACTCACACCAGTCACATCAATAGACTGTATGAACAGAGGTCGCACCACATCGTGTTTATTTCAGCTGCTGTGATGGAGCACAGCGATCGAATACGTATAATAACAGTATTTTAAACTGTTTCAATAAAGCTTTTTTTTAAATATTAAGTTTACTTTGAAATGAACCTGTGTTGTATTATAACGTGTTGTGTTATGTTGTGTGTTTTTATTTTGTGCAGTTCTCTGTCTGAGGTCAGCTCTGCATCAGTTAACATCTCCATCGCCACCCGAACCAATGCCAACATCAGAGAAAACATACAGCTGGCGGCAGATCTGGCCCTCGCAGCCAATCAGAACGCAAGCTCCGCCCTCAATATGGTATGTCAGCCAATCACAGCTTGACCCCCATAAAAGATAGTAAATAATGTGAATGTAAGAGTACAATATAGCAAATATGGGGAATATCATTGTAAAAATGAATAATTCAGTATGCTAAACTACTAGTTAGTGATGCTGATGTGTGATTCTGTTAGACGTCACTGACGGAGCAGGAGAAGAGGAGGCTGCAGAAGAGCTCAGAGATTCTGGACAGAGCTGCACTTCTGAAAAACCACACCGACGGTAAACACCACTAAAGCTCATCATTCATGTAGATGATAATACATGATATACTCACACTTTTGTGTGTGTGTGTGTGTGTGTGTGTGTGTGTGTGTGTGTGTGTCTCAGGCCTCATGCAGAATGTCAGTGCAGTGACCAGCAGGTTGAGTCTGGTTGCAGCAAACATCCAGAACTTCACACAGATGCTCCCAGAAGCCCTCACCATCCTCAGAAACCTTCCTGAAGGTGTGTGCAGTAAAATTACCCCTTATATAAAGCACTATCTATATCCATGGTTGATGGCAGCATTATTTGCCCATCTGTATTGAAATAGTTTTGAACTGTAAAAGAGAAAACATCCATTCAGATCATTTTCAAAATATTTCCGGATTTGACCGAAAGAAGAAAGTCAGGAACACCTAGGAGGCATAATCATGGGCTAATTAAAACTGTTTGTGTGAACTGACCCTTAAACGTCAGACAGATGGATCAGTGTTTATGTGTTTCTCAGGCAGCAGAGCTGAAATCCTGCAGGTGAAGCAGCAGACAGAAGCAGCGAATGCGTCTTTACAGGAAGCTCTGGAGCGCTTGCGGGATTATCGCCTAAAGCTGGACGAGTCTTCATCAGCTCTGGGGTCAGCCGATAACAGCACACAGAGGACCAATCAGCTGCTCAGAGACTCACAGGACACCGGTCAGAAATTCAGACGTTGAACATTTTGTATTTGTGGGGGCGGAGCTTTTGAAAAATTGTAACATATGTATAATTCACAAATCACATTTGACAACATAACTGCATAATGTTACGTTGCCATGAAAACATATTGTATTAATGTACTGGGGGCGTGGCTTTCTCATTTGAATATGCTAATTCTAGCATACAGATAATACATAAAGTTTTTAAAACATAAAAAAATACATGTAATGTTGTGACTGAAACATTGTATTATGATGTGTTGGGGGCGTGGCTTTCTCATTTGAATATTCAAATTTTAGCATACTCATAGTTCATGAATTACATTTGACAACATACAAAATACATGTTTTGTTGTCATGGAAACATTGTATCAGGGTTTTGGAGGGAGGGGCTTTCTCATTTGAATATTCTAATTTTAGCATACGTATAATTGACAACTCGCATTTAACAACATGATACTTACATAATGTTACGTTGCCATGGAAGCATGTTGTATTAGGGTACTGGGAGTTGGGCTTTCTCATTTGAATATTTGTAATTTTATCATACACATATTCAGAACTTACATTCGACAACATAAAAACTACATAATGTTATGTTTCCATGAAAACATTGTATTATAAAGTGCTGGGGGCGTGGCTTTCTCATTTGAATATTCTAATTTTAGCATACTCATAATTCACGAATTACATTTGACAACAGATAAAAAACACATGTTTTGTTGTCGTGGAAACATTGTATTGGGTGTTAGAGAGGGGCTTTGTCATTTAAATATTTAAATTTTAGCATACACATAATTCACAACTCACATTCGACAACATATTTTGTTGTGTATGGTTTGAGGACTTGTTTCCAGCTGTTTGTGTAAAGTTGTAGGACATTTAAACTTGCTTTCAGTTGTGTATAATACTAGAAGTTGTTTAGCCACTGTTTCCTTGGTTACTATAAGAGCTTGTGTAGCGAACGCAGACGCGGTTCGCGTCGTCCGCCTCAGTTTCGGCCCTTGTTTTGACTCGGGAGGCGTGTCCAAACGCCAGGTAACCACTATATAGTGAGCACGGTAGCATTAGTCGGCAGGAGAAGCACTTTAGCAGCATCTAGAACAGCAGCCTGTAAGTACATTTAAGATTTGTTTCAGTTGTTGTGTATGGTTTGAGGACTTGTTTCCAGCTGTTTGTGTAAAGTTGTAGGACATTTAAACTTGCTTTCAGTTGTGTATAATACTAGAAGTTGTTTAGCCACTGTTTCCTTGGTTACTATAAGAGCTTGTGTAGCGAACGCAGACGCGGTTCGCGTCGTCCGCCTCAGTTTCGGCCCTTGTTTTGACTCGGGAGGCGTGTCCAAACGCCAGGTAACCACTATATAGTGAGCACGGTAGCATTAGTCGGCAGGAGAAGCACTTTAGCAGCATCTAGAACAGCAGCCTGTAAGTACATTTAAGATTTGTTTCAGTTGTTGTGTATGGTTTGAGGACTTGTTTCCAGCTGTTTGTGTAAAGTTGTAGGACATTTAAACTTGCTTTCAGTTGTGTATAATACTAGAAGTTGTTTAGCCACTGTTTCCTTGGTTACTATAAGAGCTTGTGTAGCGAACGCAGACGCGGTTCGCGTCGTCCGCCTCAGTTTCGGCCCTTGTTTTGACTCTCGAGGCGTGTCCAGCTGAATTCAATCAGCTAGTGCTTCGGGGTTATATAAACAACTAGTTCACCGCGGCAGCGGTCGCGGCAGCCTCGTGTGAAGACCGCCTCGTGTGAAGACCGACGAGGGTAAAGACCATCGACTCTACCTGCGCGACTCCACCGAGCAAAGACACCGACAAAGCACTTGAGTACTTTACTGTATTGTTTTACTTTACACTTATTTTTTGTTGTCAGTGCACTTTTATTATGTGTTTTCTAATTCCTGTTGTTACTAACACTCGCAAAACACGGGAGGTACGCTGCAGGCGTAATCCTCACAACCTTCGTTCAATACATGTATCTACTATTTCACAACTCTCTCTCTCCGTGGGCCTCTGGAATTGTCAATCAGCTGTTAACAAGGCTGATTTTATTACCTCCATAGCTACATATTCTGACTATAATCTCATGGCTCTAACTGAGACCTGGTTGAGGCCGGAGGACACTGCTACACATGCTACTCTTTCTGCTAATTTCTCTTTTTCCCACACTCCTCGTCAGACAGGGAGAGGGGGTGGGACTGGACTACTAATTTCCAAAGAATGGAAATTTACTCTGATACCGTCCCTGCCAACAATCAGCTCCTTTGAATTCCATGCAGTCTGCATTATCCACCCCTTCTACATAAATGTGGTTGTCATCTACCGCCCACCAGGTAAATTAGGTCACTTCCTAGATGAACTGGATGTTCTTCTCTCATCTTTTTCTAATTTTGCCACTCCCTTATTGGTGCTAGGTGACTTCAACATTTACGTTGACAAACCGCAAGCTGCAGACTTTCAGACTCTGCTTGCCTCTTTTGACCTAAAAAGAGCACCTACTTCTGCTACCCACAAATCAGGTAATCAGCTAGACCTTATTTACACACGACACTGCTTCACTGATCAAACAATAGTAACTCCACTACAAATATCTGATCATTTCCTTCTGTCTCTCAACATCCACATTACTCCTGAGCCGCCACACACTCCAACACTGGTTACCTTTCGCAGAAACCTACGATCTCTCTCACCCAATAGACTATCCACCATTGTTTCAGACTCTCTTCCTCCATCTCGCAAACTCACTGCACTTGATTCGAACAGTGCCACTAATACACTCTGCTCCACACTAGCATCATGTCTAGACCGATTATGTCCTCTTGCATCCAGGCCAGCCCGTGCCAGTCCTCCTGCACCCTGGCTCTCGGATGCTCTCCGTGAGCATCGCTCAAAACTTCGGGCTGCAGAGAGAATTTGGCGGAAAACTAAAAATCCTGCATATCTCTTAACATACCAAACTCTTCTGTCCTCTTTCTCAGCTGAGGTTACTTCTGCAAAGCAGACGTATTACCGTCTGAAAATCAACAATGCCACTAATCCTCGCCTACTTTTTAAAACATTTTCCTCCCTCCTCTATCCTCCTCCTCCACCCGCATCCTCCACACTTACTACTGATGACTTTGCTACATTCTTCTGCACCAAAACTGCAAAAATCAGTGCTCAATTTGCTGCACCTACAACAAACACGCAAGATACAACACCAACACCACACACACTCACCTCTTTTTCTCAGCTCTCTGAGTCTGAGGTGTCCAAACTTGTGCTATCTAGCCATGCAACCACCTGTCCACTCGATCCCATTCCCTCTCATCTCTTGCAAGCCATCTCTCCTGCAGTCATACCAACACTGACTCACATAATTAACACATCTCTTGACTCTGGTTTATTCCCCACTACATTTAAGCAGGCTAGGGTAACCCCACTGCTAAAGAAACCCAACCTGGACCATGCGCTACTTGAAAACTACAGACCAGTATCCCTGCTTCCATTCATGGCCAAGATTCTGGAGAAAGTAGTGTTCAATCAAGTCCTGGACTTTCTTACTCAAAACAATCTCATGGACAACAAGCAATCCGGCTTTAAGAAAGGTCACTCAACTGAGACTGCCCTGCTCTCGGTCGTGGAGGATCTCAGACTGGCTAAAGCAGACTCTAAATCATCAGTCCTCATTTTGCTGGACTTGTCAGCTGCTTTTGACACGGTCAACCACCAGATCCTGCTATCTACGCTTGAGTCACTGGGCGTTGCGGGCACTGTTATACAATGGTTTAGATCTTACCTCTCTGACAGGTCATTCAGGGTGTCTTGGAGGGGAGAGGTGTCCAACCTACAGCAACTAAACACTGGGGTACCTCAAGGCTCTGTTCTTGGGCCACTTCTCTTCTCCATCTACACATCATCTCTAGGACCAGTCATCCAGAGACATGGATTCTCCTACCACTGCTATGCTGATGATACCCAGCTATACCTCTCTTTTCATCCTGATGATCCCTCGGTTCCAGCTCGTATCTCAGCCTGCCTGTTGGATATTTCACACTGGATGAAAGATCATCATCTTCAGCTGAACCTCGCAAAAACGGAAATGCTTGTAGTTTCTGCCAACCCGACTCTACACCATAACTTTTCAATCCAGATGGATGGGGCAACCATTACTGCATCCAAAATGGTGAAAAGCCTTGGAGTAACGATTGATGACCAACTAAACTTCTCTGACCACATTTCTAGAACTGCTCGATCGTGCAGATTTGCACTCTATAACATCAGAAAGATCCGACCCTTCTTATCTGAACATGCAGCTCAACTCCTTGTTCAAGCTCTTGTTCTCTCCAAACTGGATTACTGCAACTCTCTACTAGCTGGGCTTCCAGCTAACTCTATCAAGCCTCTTCAGCTGCTCCAGAATGCAGCAGCACGAGTTGTCTTCAATGAACCTAAACGAGCACATGTCACTCCGCTGCTAGTCCGTTTGCACTGGCTGCCAGTTGCTGCTCGCATCAAATTCAAAACTCTGATGTTTGCCTACAAAGTGACTTCTGGCCTAGCACCTTCTTATCTGCACTCACTTCTGCAGATCTATGTGCCCTCCAGAAACTTGCGTTCTGTGAATGAACGTCGCCTCGTGGTTCCATCCCAAAGAGGGAAAAAATCACTTTCGCGAACGCTCACGCTCAATCTGCCCAGTTGGTGGAATGAACTCCCTAACTGCATCAGAACAGCAGAGTCACTCGCTATTTTCAAGAAACGACTAAAAACTCAACTATTTAGTCTCCACTTCACTTCCTAAGCTGCAATTGCCTCTTTGAATATCACTCTAATTGTACAAAAAAAAAAAAAAAAAAAAAAAAAAAAAAAAAAAAAAATACTAACACTTCCCTTCTTAGACTTTACAGACCTGAAACTTGCCTTTAGTACTTATTCATTGTTGCTCTTAGTTGTGTAAATTGCTTCCTTGTCCTCATTTGTAAGTCGCTTTGGATAAAAGCGTCTGCTAAATGACTAAATGTAAATGTAAATGTAAATATAAAAACTACATAATGTTATGTTGCCATGGAAACATATTGTATTATAAAGTGATGAGGGCGTGGTTTCTCATTTGAATATTAAAATTTTAGCATACCCATAATTCACAACTCACATTTGACAACGTATAAAAGCTGCATAATGTTAAATTGCCATGGAAACATTGTATTATAAAGTGCTGGGGGCGTGGCTTTCTCATTTGAATATTCTAATTTTAGCATACTCATAATTCAGGAATTACATTTGACAGCATATAAAAAATATGTTATGTTGTCGTGGAAACATATTGGTTGTTGGGGGAGGGGCTTTGTCATTTGAATATTCTAATTTTAGCATATGCATAATTCACAACTCACATTCGACAACATAAAAAAACTACACAATGTTACATTGCCATGGAAACATTGTATTGAAAAGTGCTGGCGGCGGGGCTTTGTCATTTGAATATTCAAATTTTAGCATACCCATAATTCATGAATAACATTTAACAGCATATAAAAAAATTTATGTTGTCATGGGAACATTGTATTGGGGGGGGGGGGGGGGTTCTCGTTTTATGTTCTAATTTTAGCATACTTATAATTTACAACTCGCATTCGACAACATATAAAAACTACATAATAGAAACATTGTATCTGGGGGCGTGGCTTTCTCATTTGAATATTCTAATTTTAGCATACCCATAATTCATGAATATCATTTGACAGCATATAAAAAAATTGTTGTGTTGTCATGGGAACATTGTATTGGGTGTTGGGGGAGGGGCTTTCTCATTTAAATATTCTAATTTTAGCATACTTATAATTTACAACTCTCATTCGACAACATATAAAAACTACATAATAGAAACATTGTATCTGGGGGCGTGGCTTTCTCATTTGAATATTTAAATTTTACCATACACGTAATTCACAACTCACATCTGATATGGAAAACCTTTGAACTGTCCCTTTAATTGTCAGCCAAAGGTCATAATCCTGATATTCATATTCATATTTTCCCTCTGTGCTTCAGCAAACGCTGCTGGATCCCGCCTGAGCGAGGCTGATGTGAAAGCTGATCGTCTGCTGGAGCGTCTGAAGCCTCTGCAGACTCTGGGAGAAACGCTGAGCAGAAACCTGTCCGACATCAGAGAACTCATCAGTCAGGCACGCAAACAGGCTGCATCGGTGAGAACACACACACACACACACACACACCATTTTTAATCTAAATTAGTATCTGTTTTTTTTGTTTCTGTGGCTTTTGTTTCCCTAAGACATACTAACCACACATGATCTTTATTATTTCAATGTAAGCGCATACATCCATCAGCATGTGAGCATCAGCGTCAGAGCATATCCAAAGACCACAAGGGCCTCAGATCCCTTTAGACCCCAGTGTATACCATGATAATCGTATCTGCTGAATCACATACGGACACTAATGCATGTTCTGTTGTGCTCTCTGTAGATTAAAGTGGCCGTCTCTGCAGACCGCAACTGTGTACGCGCGTACAGACCTGAGGTGACGTCCAGCAACTTCAACACACTCACACTGACCATGAAGACCAGTGAACCCGACAACCTGCTCTTCTACATGGGCAGCAGCTCCAGCGTACGTCTGCATACTTAACCTCTTATACACCGCAGTGCTGTTTATTTACATGGTGTTATTGTTTTGATTCAGATTTTAGTAATTGATTAATTATTGTTAATATTTTCATTAAATATTTATTAGTATTTTAATAATTGGTTAATTAAGAGTAATATTTTTATTATTTATTTTACTTAATATTTTAATAATTGGTTAATTAAGAGTAATATTTTCATTATTTATTTTACTTAATATTTTAATAATTGGTTAATTAAGAGATATATATTTTTTACTTAATATTCTAATAATTGGTTTATTTAGAGTAATTTTTTATTATTTATTTGAATAATATTTTAATAATTAGTTAATTAAGAGTAATATTTTTATTGTTTATTTTTAGTATTATTTTTGTAATTGATATATATATATATATATTTTTTTTATTTTATTAATATTATTATATATATTATTAATGTTTTTATAATTGATTAATTAATGTTTATATTTTAAAATATATTTTTATTAATATTGTTTATTATTATTAAAACTTTATTTTTTTTACATTTTAATTTAATAATTTGTTAAATAATATTATATAAATTGGTATTTTATGAAGTACTATAATTCATATTTTAATTATTGATTATTATTAATGTAATTCTTGTTAGTTTCTACTATTTGGGATTAATTAGTTTAAAAATTTATTTTATTTTTGAATAATAATTGCATTATTTTATTAGCAAACTAAAAAGCTAAAAGACTAACTGGAAATTAATTAAATAATTAATTAATTAAATTAATATAATTCATTTAAATTGTAGTTTTTAACGTTATAAATAGTTGAAATAAATGCACTAAAATATAAAAAATGTAAAAAGAAATTAACATTTAGTTGTAAGCTTGTGCAAAAATCACACAAATGCTTGTTTATATCTGCATCAGGAGGATTTCATGGCTCTAGAAATGCATGATGGGAAGGTGTCCTTTCTGTGGGACGCCGGTTCAGGACACAACAGACTGGAGTATCCGGATGTTCAGATCAACAATGATAAATGGCACAGGATCAATGCCACGCGGTGCGTAGATAAACGCTGCTCTTCTTCACTGTAAATTAGTGGTGCACTGATCATGATTGTCCATGGCCAATTACATTTCTACCAGCAAATTGGCAAATTCTGATATCAATTTCTGAAATGTACTTGCTAAAAACTATGAGAAATTGTTAATCTTAGGTATTTGGGGATTTAAAATAGATCATTTCAAAATATGAAGTGAAAAAAAAACCTATTCTGACTTTATGAAATAATGCTACATGCAACATACAGACATGCTGGTTAATAATGCAGATTCAGTCTCTCCCAGCAGGGGGCGCCTATAGAACTGCAGGAATAACAGCGTCTTCATGGTTACGGGTGGGGGGTTGGGATGGGGTATTGTGACGCAGCTCATAGAGAAGCAGAATATTAGATAAGAGAACAGTGGGCGTGGCTTGTTTTTTCTACTGCAAGCTGATTGGATGTAGTGAAGTAGGCGTGTCATTCAGAAAGATGGGGAAAAGGGTTTGGGGAGAGTTATTATAACCTAACAGACTCCTCCTGCTCACCATTTCTGTTTGTTGTCATTATGTTTACCGCTAGAGGCTGTGCTTTTTCTTAATTGGTGCTGTTTAATGTGTGTGCAGGTTTGGGAGACACGCTACACTGACGGTTCAGCAGACGGACTCTGAGCCGCTGCCCGCCGTAAAGAGCAGCGCCGCCGGATCTGCCACTGTGATGGACGTCAATAAACACACATGGGTGTATGTGGGCGGCCTGGGTGGACAGGTGAAGGTGAGACACACTGAGCTTTAGCTTTAATACTGCGGGTTAATGGGCCGATCATACCGAAAACGCTTTTCCCCTTGGAAACCTGAAACCTGAACCCCACCTCTGCTTTTATTTGATTGTACAATGAAAAAGACAGGACTGACGTAGCTTGCTTTTTCTGCTCAGAGTTTACATTTTTTCAACTGCGGGCGCACGGAGCGCAACAGCAAAAACACGAGCACATGCAAAGGGCGCATAAGCAGAGCACAAAACACTCAGACAACCAACACACACATAAACACACACACAGCTAGCCTTAACGGTTCATATATAAATATGCTAAATCTATCATTTAATTAGTTTGATAACAATAAAAATTGTAATTTCTATATATTCCAAATATATATACATTTATATTATTTATATTCCAAATACCAGAATTTTAATTTGATTTACCAGAATAATTTTATTTAATTTAATTGTTTAATTTATTTTAATTTTGTTTAATTTAATTTAATTTTGTTTAATTTAATTTAATTACATAATTTAATTTAATTTAATTTTGTTTAATACAATTTTGTTTAATTTGAATAAATTTTGTTTAATTTAATTTTGTTTAATTTGATTTTGTTTAATTTAATTAAATTTTGTTTAATTTAATTTGGTTTATTTTACTTAATTTTTATTTAATTAAATTTTGTTTAATTTAATTTTGTTTAATTTGATTTTGTTTAATTTAATTTAATTTTGTTTATTTTAATATTTTTTTTATTTAATTAAGTTTTATTTAATTAAATGTTGTTTATTTTAATTTTATTTAATTTAGTTTATTTAAATTTAATTTTGTTTAATTTAATTTTGTTTAATTTGATTTTGTTTAATTTAATTAAATTTTGTTTAATTTAATTTGGTTTATTTTACTTAATTTTTATTTAATTAAATTTTGTTTAATTTAATTTTGTTTAATTTGATTTTGTTTAATTTAATTTAATTTTGTTTATTTTAATATTTTTTTTATTTAATTAAGTTTTATTTAATTAAATGTTGTTTATTTTAATTTTATTTAATTTAGTTTAATTTAATTTAATTTTGTTTATTTTAATTAATTTTTTTATTTAATTAAATTTTGTTTAATTTAATTAAATTTTGTTTAATTCATTTATATTTGTTTATTTTAGTCATCAGTCATCAATCAAATTCTAACACATGCTGGCCCATACATTCTCTCTCAGGATGTTGTTATGGTGTTGTGAGCTCCTACATGTCAAATGATGAAGGTAATGTTGGTTTGTCAGTTCATGACCACTGTAACCCTCAGTGTGTTTTCTTTACCCAGAAATCTCCAGCAGTGAAAATAACCCATTTCAGAGGCTGTATGGGTGAAGCGTTGCTCAACGAGAACAACATCGGCTTGTGGAATTATGCTGAGAGACAGGGCGAGTGCGGAGGCTGCTTCAGGAGGTAAAACACACACACAAACACACACACACACACACACACACACACACACACACACACACACACACATCTGTAAAGGGCCTAAAAAGTGCTTAAAACAGAACCCATCAGACTTTTTTGCTATTTCTGCGCTGAAATGATCTCTACATGCAGACGCTGATGTTCTTGATGTTCTGTGTTTCTCCATCAGTCCTCGCACTGAAGACACCTCGTTTCACTTCGACGGCAGCGGCTTCTCTGTGGTGGAGAAATCTCTGCGCTCCATGTCCACCAGCGTGGTGATGTTCTTCAAGACTCTGTCCCCCAACGGCCTTCTCCTGTATCTGGCCTCCAACGGCACGGTAAACTGCGTTATTACTAGGGGTGTAGCTCTATATGTTACCCTATATGTAGTGTATATGTCACGGTGTGGTGGCGACGGTTCGGTTCATGCGCCAATACAGTCAGTACAGATATGTGAACTTTGCCTGAGCCCGATTCAGCGCACTCACACTTCTCAAACGATCCGGGAAACGGGCCTGGGCACGGTACGGATAGCATAGTGTGAGTAGGCCCTAAGTGTCTGGTGTGGGCCGAATCTGGGCCAGAATAAAAGCAAACCGTGGCCCAGTATAGGGTCAGTTCTGGTTCATTTGGTTGAATTCTGGCTGATATGTGGTATTGCTATCGCTTAATTGCAGCCCAGATCTGGCAAACAAGAGCAGACCGCCCAAATGCCATCATTCCATGTGTATTTGGGCCGGATGTAAGTGTCTGGTGTGGGCCGGATTTGAGTCACATGTGTTTTGCTAGCTGGAGAATTAGTAAAACTGATATATAGTGGTTAGTTTTGGTATTGTTGCAGGCTCCATAAATAATTCAGTGTATTGGAAGCACTGCAAAATCCTCAGCATTATGACCGTGTGTTGCAGAGAGACTTTCTGTCCATCGAGCTGGTGGAGGGAAAGGTTCATCTGACCTTTGAACTGGGCTCCGGAGCGCTGACCATGACCTCCAGCAGAACATACAACACCGGATCCTGGTACCGAATCGCCCTGCAGAGGAACAAGCGCAAAGGTGCATTTAATATACTCTCATATACACCCTTACAATGTGATGAAGAGCATTTCCCGCTGGTTTCACAAGTGTAACAAGAGGAAAATTAATCATATAATAACGTCAAAACAGATACAATGCACAAATGCTATTGTTATATGAAGTTTTAGTCTTGTTTTTAGTGCAAATATCTAAAAATTCTTAAATCAAATAGCATTTTCTATTTAAATATAAAATATTTAAAATCTTTATAAAATATATAAAATATTTAAACTTATTGTTTTCAGCAACAATAAGTCAGAAATGTTCCTTAAAACAAGCATTTTTATGTTTGGGTCTTTAAATGCAAATGAACCAGTAACCCCGCCCCTTTTTCAGAAGAAGGTGGGGCTTTGTTCTGAAGTGCAGGGCTTTCCAAATTCACATTCCACTATTAGTTCAAGCCTGTAAACACACTTCATTTAAAAGTCAGTCATGTGATTTCTCTGTGTAATAAATGTGTTTTTGAGTTTTGAGATGTGTGTGCAGGTCATTTATTCAGGTTATTTTTTTATTTATTTCACAACAAGGGACAGTGTACTTTAATCAACGTTCTCCAAGAACCCAAACTAGTCTAGTTTTCATTGGTGGTCCAATCTGTCATGGCTGCTGCGAACCAGTCCGATATTTTTAATCTGTCTTTTAGATTTTTCCTGAATATTAACATTTATTTAGTATTTTTCCCCAACATGTTAATTTGGGAGTATTTATTTTTGGACTGAGATCTTTTCAAGGTTTTCTAGACAAGTGCAAAGTATCGTCTTGTTTTCAGAAATAATAAGTCAGAATTTTTCTGTTTGGTGCTTTAAATGCAAATTAGCCGCTGATCCCGCCCCCTTTTCAGAAGAGGGCGGGGCTTTTTGTAATAAATGTGTGTTTCTGAATCATTAGGTCATTTATCTGTCATGGCTGCTTCAAACCCGTCCGAGCGTGAGGTGCTGGAGGCGGAGGCTCCGGGTCAGGCTTCTGACCTCAACCGATCCGACCTTGACCCCATTTACATCGGTGGATTGCCAGCCTCTCGACCAATCAGGTGACAGCACACGGATTACGGTAGAATTGTGGGTTCATTTATGTCCTAAGATAAATTCATTCATTTTCCTTCAGCTCATTTATCAGGCCACAGAGGAATGAACCGCCAATTTATCAAGCATATGTTTTACACAGTGGATGTCCTTTCAGCTGCAACCCAATACTGGGAAATACTCATTTACACACACACACACACTCATACACTACAACCAGTGTAGTTGATCAGTTCCCCTATAGTGCATGTGTTTGGACTGTGAGGGAAACCAGCACCTGAAGAAAACCCACACCAACACGGGGAGTTCTGTTACATTGGTTATTTAAAGGCAGATCAATCTGATAGAGAAAGCCAAGTTTGTTCCAGAGATGTAAATGGCGTAGTGTTGTTAATGTGTGCAGGAGGCAGGTTGTCGCTCGCTCTTTCGTCGGCTGCATGAAGAACGTGGAAATCGCACGAACAAACTTCGACCTGCTCAGAGAGGCGTACGGCGTGAAGAAAGGCTGCGTCCTCAAGGTGAGAGTGGGAAAAAACTATTGTTTACCGTCAAACACAAATGCATGTTGCATTGAAAGCAACAACAGAAAGTGTGTGTGTGTGTGTGTGTGTGTGTGTGTGTAGCCCATTCGCAGTGTGTCAGTGTTTGGCGGAGGGTTTCTGGAGATGCCGGCGGTGCTGCTTTCCTCTCACACTGAAATCATGAGCACCTTCTCCAGCAGACGTGACAGCGGAGTCATCCTGGCCGGATTCAGCCGCTCATCCAGACACACACAACAGGTCAGTCTTCATCATCATCATCATCATCATCAGTGTACACGGGTCACGGGCTGAAGATTCATTTATTCATTCATTCATTTTGGCTTAGTCTCTGATTTATCAGGGGTCAACACAGTAGAATGAACCGCCAACTATTCCATCATATGTTTTACACAGCGGATGCTCTTTCAGCCGCAAACCAGTACTGGGAAACACCCATACACCCTCATTCACACACACACACACACTCATACACTACAGCCAGTGTAGTTGATCAGTTCTCCTATAGCGCATGTGTTTGGACTGTGGGGGAAACCGGAGGAAACCCACGCCAACATGGGGAGAACATGCAAACTCCACACAGAAACACCAACTGACCCAACCGAGACTCAAACCAGCGACCTTCTTGCAGTGAAGCGACAGCACTACCTGTATCGCCTTCTAAACTCATACACAATAAATACACACAGCACACACACATCATGTCAAAGCAATCCTTTATTTTAGATCTGATTAATTGCAACGTTATTTTTGGCCAGCAATAATTTTCATGCAACTTTCCAAAATGTGTGTGTGTGTGTAGCCGCTGTTACTGCTGCTGCTGGTGTCTGGAGGTCTGGAGCTGCGTGTGAGTGTGTCTGATGGAGCAGCGGTGCAGAAAGCAGAACTCAGAGGATCCTTCAGTGACGGACATGAACACTCACTCATCCTGCAGAGGAACAAACGGTCTGCTTTACTTCTGATTTTAGGGGAATATCGAAAACGTGTGTATATACATATATGTGTGTGTGACAAATGATACCTATAATAATCTATTTTCAATATATATATATATATATATATATATATATATAAGCAATATAACACTCGTAGCAGTGAGATATGGCTGTATATCAGCACTGGTGGGAGGCTTGCCTTACCCTCCCACCAGTGCTGATGTACAGCCATATCTCACTGCTACTTGTGTGATATTGCGTTTATACAACAGTTCGACGGCACAATCGTGTATATAAATAAGAAAATCAAACACAGAGAGTTTTAAAACCCCTTTTTATTAGGAACTACTTTCTTCTGCCATTCATTCACATCTGCAGCTGACGTCAGAACAGCTGAAGCCGTTACTAATTCACCAACGTCATTTTAGAGCTAGTGTTTAAATGACTCTATCCGCTTGTTGAGTGTGACGTCACGCGAAGCTGCTTCCGGGTCCAAGCGCTCTATTCAACTGAATGTGGAGACTCATGAAATGGTAATAATAAACGTTTACAAAGCCATTTAATACTTTCGAAAGTCACGATCGCAGTATATATGTCCATGCCTAATATCCGATGGCCAGAAAGTGATTCATTGTTTTATAAATTGTTAAAATGTTGGTATTTGTGATGCAGCAAGCCCAGAGATTGTTGTGTACACTATGACTTTATGTAAAATTTACTTTAATGTGTGATAGGAATAAAAAGCGATCATAAACGACTGATTTCTCCACTCAAATGAGTGGCGGCTTGGACCCGGAAACATTATTACATACGTCACAAACACGTCACCACTTAACAAGCGGATAACCTAATCTCAAAAGTAATGACTAAAGAGCTGATTTTGCTCACACTTTAAAGGGCCATGAAACCCCCTCGTTTCAGCAGGGTGTTTTCACACCTCTACTTTGGAAAAAGTCAGAAAAGTGGGCGTGTCCAGCTCTGTTTAGGGGGGAGTGTCGGAGGAAGAAAAGTGGGAGGGTGTGGGAGTGTCTATTTGGGAACGCGCGAGTTTCAGAGTCAAAACAGAAATTGTAAATATTTTAAAATAGGCACCATTCCTACAAATAAACTGCATAGTTGTGATCTAAACAACTACATTCTCCATTAAAAAAGCCTCAAAAGTACAATTGGTTGTCTAACAGCAGTAATATTTGTCAAACTGTAGCGTCTCTGCTTGTTGCTGGCTGAATGTGGGCGGAGTAATACATAAAGGGTAAAGAGGCTGTACAGGTGCTGATATTACTTAAATATCTGATTCAAGAAGCAGACAGAACTGTTGTATAATATATATATATATATATATATATATATATATATATATATATATATATATATATATATATATATATATATATATATATATTAATTTATTTATTAGTAGTTATTTTTGTGATTATGCTATTGTATTTCTATTTTTATTTCATTTCAGTTTTAATGTTATTGCAGTTTTTTCTGAAGTTGTAGTTCTATTCATATTTGGTTTCTATAGTATCATTATATATTTGTTTTTCTTGTTATATTATATTTGTAATACTCTGTTTTTTGGTCACTTGCTTCAGTTTTTTATTTGTATAAATATATTTTACCACAGAAACCCTGTTGTGCAGCACAAGATTAGTATTACTGAATCCTCTATTAATTAATGTATGATGTCGTGGCGTTTAGTGAAGTCCCAGTGTGTGCGTGTTTTCCTCAGGACGATCACAGTGGTTGTGGATGAGGGCATCCAGGCCTCGCTGAAGCTGCCGGCGTCTGCAGAGAAAAGCCTGACTCTGGAGCGGCTCTACATCGGCGGCGTTCCTCCAACAGAGGGAGACACACACACACTCACACCTGCCTTCTACGGCTGCATCAGGAACACTGCGGTCGACGGCATGTGAGTCTCACACACACACATACACACACACACAGAGACACACTTACAGTCATGCACACTTACATTCTAAGACACACACACACACATACACACATATAGAGACACACATTATCACATACACATACATAGAGACACACACACACACATTTAGAGACTAAACCATGTATGCAGGTGTGCGTGTGTGTGTGTATGGTATCATTACATCT